GGATCCTGGTCCTGGAACTCTGGAGCCAGTGTGAAGCTGAGCCTTTGGACTGGGGATAAAGCTAGAAACTTGCAGTGTGCCCTGGGCGTGGCCAGGGCTGCGTTCCTGGAGACTGCAGGACCAGCTTGGGGGAAGAACAAAAGGATTCCTGGGAAATATGCCCCAGTGACTGCTGAGGAAGGTCCTTGAGGACCAAGGGGAACAGCAGGAGCTAGTGGCAGGTGGCAAGGGTGGGGTTAGGAGAGGGCAGTGAGAGGGAGGCAGTGACACTCAGGGAGTGGGGCTGAGGAGTCGCTGGGTGGTTTAGGTAAAGGCTTCCTGCTGGAGACCAGAGGCCAGTCTTCATTCAGTCATTCAACAACTATTTATTGAACATCCACCAAGTGGCAGGCCCTTGCCAGGCCTGGCAGGGGGAGGAGGGGCAGCAGTGAACAGAACCAGGTCCCCACCACATGGGGCTCACACTCAGATTGGGCAGACAGAAGAAAAACACACTAATAGATCTTATTAGTGGAGAATGGCTGAGAAAGACAAATAAGAATAAGGGCTGTTTATATGGAATGCCTGGGAGGCCCTTCCTAGGAACTTGGCATTTGAACAAATCTTTTTTTTTCCTCTTTTTTTTTTCTTTCTTCTTCTTTCTTTTAAAGGACGAGAGGAAGTGAGTCCTGCAAATATGAGGGGACAGTGTTCAACCTGAGAGAAGAGCAAGAGCAGCACCTCAAGGTGGAAGCTGGTGATGTAGGGACTGGACTCAGTGAGCAAGGACAGAGAGCAGCAGTGGGTGAGATGAGAGCAGTAACCAGGTGCTGACCAACCACAGGCTCATCCTGATTCCCAAGGTCAGAGACCCTGGAGGGAGGGAAAGGGCCCCCCACCCAAGTGGTGACAAGAGGTATGTGGAGAGTGGGGAGGAAATGGGATACGGTCACCTTGTGTAGTGTCAGCTGGGGCCTCCGGACCAAGGCCTACACAGGACAGAAGATGGTATGGGCACTGCCTTCTGGACCCACGACCTCTGATGCACACACAATACCCACACATGTGGATGCACGTGCAAGCACAGGCTCACCCTCCGCAAACATGCAGACAGGAATAGCATGCAAGAACACATGCGTTCACAGACATTCATGAGAAACTCTGAAATGGCAGAATTCTGGGACTGGAGGGCTTTATACCAAGTCCCACTTGTGACAGAGAAACTGAAGTCCAGAAAATGGAAAGTGATATGCAGATCTGCATGTATCCCCTTCACATGTGTGTGCTGACACAATCACATGCACCAGTCCAGGGTTCTTTCCTCAATCCCATCTGCCCTCCCTGGAGGCCCACGGCTTAAACAAGTCCCACCAGGAGGGAGCCGAGTTCCCTCCCAATTATTCCAGCAAGCAGTGTGGAGGGCTCGTGGGCTGGGGACAGAGATGGACTCTGGCCCTCTGTGGGGAGGATGGCTAACCCACAGCACAGCTGAGTATGCATTGTAGCAGCACCTGTCTGGTTATTTCAATATCTGTCACCCTTTCTCCATCTCACTTTCTGGGCCTTTCCCCTCACTATCTTTGTCCACTTCCATCCCTCCACCCCAATCTGTCCCCATGTTCTCCAGCTGGCTCTGATTCTGTTTTCCCCTCTTTTTCTCCAGGTTGCTCTCTCATTCCCATCCCTTTCTCTCCAGTTCTTTCTCTTTGCTGAGCTCTGTCCCACTCTCTCCGTTTTCTCTTTAGGATCTCTTTGTGCCTTCCAGGAAAAACTGATGTGGTGCTGCCAGCAGCCCCAGGCCTCCCTGGAGTGGGGGTTGTCCAACTGAGCAGCCCCAGCAATGATGGGACTGACCACTCTGGTTGGCAGGACTCAAGGAAGGGAAGCAGTAAGGGAAGGAGAGAGGGCTGAGCCTCTGCAGAGCAGGAAAGGGGGAAGTGGACAAGTCAAGGAGGAAATGAGAACCACCTCTGCTGCTAAGGTGTACAACTGTCCAGGTTTGGTTTTCCTGGGCCTGCCAGATGTTAGCACTGCAAATCCCCAAAACCCATCAGGCTCAGGCAAACCAGGGCAGATGGTTGGTTACGCTACAAGTTGCCTGAGAACCCAAGGAGCCAGGACAGGGGCTGAAAGGATTGGGGGCCCCAAATCTGGCTCCCTTTCTTCCCCTTCTGTACCCCTCAATTCTCCCTTTCCCTGCCACAAGACTGCTGAAGACCCAGGAAGATGTAGGGAGCTCGAGGGTCTGAGATGGGTTCCCCAGTCCTGGGCCTCCAGGTTTGTGATCTGCAGACAATGAAGGTTCCACATACTCACTGTAGGCCCCCACCAAGGGCCCGAGCCATGGCGACCTGGGGTGCCTTCTGGCTGGCATCCTAGCCTGCTGTGTATGTCCAGTGGAGGTGGGCTTTGCAAGGAGAGCTTCAGTTGGGGACGGCCAGTAGATAATAAGCCCCTAGTCTTGGGGGGGGACATACAACTGCTCCTCAGGCTCTTCTGAGGGGGTGGGTCCACGGCTCCCATCATGAAACACCATGGAGGGTCCTGTGGCACTCAGTTGAGGTCCACTCAGCTCTGTTGGCTCTTCTCCTGTGTGGCAGCCGGGCACAGCCACACCCTGCAGGCAGTGGTGGGACCTGGGAAGCTGGAAAGACCTTCAGTGACTGATAGGTGCACTTTCCCTTCTGCCTGAGTGGGCTGGTCCCTTTCACTTCTGCTCTCAACAGAAGTGGGGTTCTGGGAGATAACCTGGAGTTTGGCTGCTCTCAAGGGCTCTGATGAAGAGGAATGAGGGGCCAGGGCCTCTTACCCCTGGGGAAGCCAGTGACGCACTCGCCACCTAACAGTGTGAATCTTCTACATTGTAGGCAACCTTCTTGGAAATGTCCTCCTAATAAGGAACTTGGGCACATCTGTCCCCCAGCCTGGACCCAAAGTCCCCATCTGTGTCACAAGGAGGAGGAACAGATAAGCCCTAATGCACGCTCATTTCTAGCATCTGATGACCATCCGCCTCACCTTTCATTCAACCAAGGGACATTTATTGAACCCCTTTCTCTGTGCCAAGTATCAACAGCAACTGGGAGAGGACAAGGTGGCTGCCCTCATGCGCTTCCTACCTGGTAACACTTCCTTTGGGATCTCTTCACACACGAAACAAGCAGGAATAAATCACCGCAGATTATATCAAGAGCCATGAAAGACAAATGGGGGTCTGTGAGAGCAATTAATGGGGAGACCGGCTTCAGACTTAGTGTCAGAATGGCTGCTCTGATGAGATGTTTAATGGATATGACAGAGGAGCCAACCACAGTTGGACAGGCTGAGGGTTGAGGAGGATGGGTGCACTCTGACCCTGATGTGTTTTGGAGGAGAGGACAGTGTGGGGATTGTGAACTCCTTGGATTCTCTAGAGATGAGACTGGTGGTACAGCCTTTGTGAGGGTGAAGCCCAGTGAAGCCTCCGCCCCCAGGACTCCCTCCTTGACTGACACTGAGGCCATACATATTACACTTCTAGCTTCTGGTTGACTCACCCAATACAGAACTTTCCCAGAAACTCTCTGGCACAGTAGGAATAATACCAGAGGTGCTTCATCTGCAAAGGGGGGATCTAAATTAGACTATAATGTCCCCATCACCAGACCTGGGCATCTGCAGCCACCACACTGGTCTTCTGCAATCTTGTTTGGTGTCAGGGAAGAGATGTAATGAGCTGGCATTAGGATCTTTAGACCCTTTTAGCCACAGATGATACCTGCCTGACCTTGCTCTTGCCAAGAGGGTAAGTTGAGTCATGAGCAGAACTCAGCAGGTTAATGCACGGGAAGCTTGGGGAGGACTACCGAGGTGGTATGAGGGCTTACTCTGGAGGGCATTTATCCAGCCTACAAAGTTCTTTTCTGGGTCTTCCTCATCTCTGGGCTCTCCTCCGTCTCCCTTGATGTGGGCTTCTTTATCTCTCCACTTTCACTCCTCTGGGCTCTTCAGTTCGGAGGTACACCCTGGAAATGCACACCCCTTTCACATGGGGCAGGGACGGTGGAGCCCAGAGGGTCAAGATGACATCATAGGTGTCCAGCACCAACTGTGGGACATACATCAGTCACTGTGGGGCCACAGATCTCTCAGCCTCATTCCACGTGCCGGGTGAGCAATGGAACCTCTCTGCACACCTGAATCCGGCCCAGAATCCAGCCAGGGACACTGAAGCCCCTGCTGGTTCCTGTCTTAGTTTTTCTTCCCCAGCTCTGAGCTGGCTTCCTGTCCTCTGCCTGCCTCCTGCCCCTCCCCACCCAGCTCAGTGTGAGGCTGGGATTGCAGCTGGGGCGCTCACTCCCAGGACAACATCCAGCTCAGCTTTAGCCAGCAGGATATATTTGCTTAAAAAAACACGCCCAACATTTTGGCTTCTCACTGCAGGGTTGGAGCCTACACTTCGGCCTTCTCAGCTTTTCACTGAGATACACAAATACACACTTCAGCACACAAACTCACACACACCAAGACAGACCCACACAAAGACACACGTTCACGTCCACACACAAACCACCCTCACACCCGCACGAAGATGTTACATTCACCACACACTCAAACATTTTCAAACGCACACAAATTCTCTCTTGCACACAGTCTCAAACCTAACACATGCAAACTTCACACACAGTAATATACACCCTCCTCCAAAACCCGTCCAAAACCCGTTCACGCACCTCCCAACACACGCAAACACACGCACAGCCTGCCTGGGAGGAAGAAGCCACTCCTTGTCCATTTGAAGGGAGGTTACAAGCTTCCCTCCCTCCATAAGATCCAATTTCTCACCCTTCCCCCATACAAACGCTCTGGCCTCATCTTTCTTTTGGGTCCTGTCCAGACTGTGCTGTGTCTTTAAGGAAGGAGAAGCTGCTAAAAGTGAGTGAGTGAGAGAGAGAGAGAGAAAACACAACCCAAAAAATTTGGCCTCCTTCCCCCTCCAGTTTCTGGTGTCACTTATGAAACACAGGTCGCTGTTGTGGTAGAGTTAACGGCTGGTTTGCTGGAGGGAGGAGTGTGCAGGCTGCCCAGCTTTCTCCCTGTGGCCCCTGTGTGGGCAGGGTGGGCACAGGCCTGCAAGCTGAAGGTGGGACAGCACCAGGCTTCTCCTTTCATCATATCCTAGTCCTGCCTTGGGCTCCCTGGCCTTGCAGACTCTCTGGACAACTTGCTCCTTTGTTTTTTCTTGGTTCCATCTTAGAAGAGGCTGCGGTTGGCTAAGAAAGAATAGTTTGAAGGTAAGTCAGGGAGAAGCGGGTTCCTAGGGCCAGGAGGTGGAGGCCTGTCAGACACCAGGGCTGGTTCCCTTTTGGTATGTCTTTGTTGGTTCGAGGTTCTTGGGACAGTCCCTTGCTCAGAGTCATCCAGGGAGCATCAACTTCTTGGACAACCACAACCCCGGAACTTCCAGCTGCATTTGGGTTGAGCCTCTGGCCTCCCTGGAGTCAGCTGAAAGGTCCTCGTGGGGTTTATTTAGGCAGCTGCCTGGCGTGGTTTGAACAGAACAGGCCCCGGTGTGATTCTGTAGAAAGGGCCTGGTGTCTGCTGTGGTCACAGCCAGAGGAGTGTGGGCGTGGACAGGGGTGGTGTGCACTGCACAAGGGGCCTTGTCTGAGCCGGGGCATAACATACCTATGGGGGGGCTCTGATGGGAGGGGCTGCAGCCAGGATGTGGGAGGGCAGGAGGAGTTTCTGTGAAGTGCTGGGGGAGGGGGGGGGCTGCTGGAAAACAGATTTCGAGTCATAAAGTCAGCTAGGAACAGGCCGAGGCAAAGGGAGCTCCTGGTTCAGACGAGAAGCTGGGGTCCTCTTCCATCCTGTCTTCACCGTGCTTGGCTGTGTGACCTTGGCAAGTCCTGGCGTTTCCCTCGGCCTCACTTTCCCCTTCTGCAGAATGGGGGTGGGGTACTAGGTGGTGTTGGGTTTTGGCTGGATTATGTGGGGCAGGATCTCCCAATGGGGAATAGTGTTAGGCTGGGGTCCTGGGAAGGGACAAGGCCCTTCTGCAGCTCTGCATGCTCACCTGGGTGACCTGTCCCACCCTGCAGGAGGTACAATGCTGGGGATGCGCCTGCTGTGCTGGGCAGTTCTTCTGGGTCTGACACAAGCCTGTCCCGAGCCCTGTGACTGTGGGCAGAAATACGGCTTCCAGATCGCCGACTGCGCCTACCGTGACCTGGAGGCTGTGCCACCTGGCTTCCCGGCCAATGTGACCACACTGAGCCTCTCGGCCAACCGGCTGCCAGCTTTGCCAGAGGGCGCCTTCAGGGAGGTGCCCCTGTTGCAGTCACTGTGGCTAGCCCACAATGAGATCCGTACGGTGGCCGCCGGTGCCCTGGCCCCTCTGGGTCATCTCAAGAGTTTGGACCTCAGCCACAACCTCATCTCTGACTTTGCCTGGAGTGACCTGCACAACCTCAGTGCCCTCCAGTTGCTCAAGATGGACAGCAACGAGCTGGCCTTCATACCCCAGGATGCCTTCCGTAGCCTCCGTGCCCTGCGCTCACTGCAGCTCAACCACAACCGCCTCCACGCGCTGGCTGAAGGCACCTTCAAGCCGCTTACCGCACTGTCCCATCTGCAAATCAATGACAATCCCTTTGACTGCACCTGTGGCATCCTGTGGTTCAAGACATGGGCCCTGGCCACAGCCGTGTCCATCCCGGAGCAGGACAACATCGCATGTACTTCACCCCACGTGCTCAAGGGTACCCCACTGGGCCGCCTGCCACCCTTGCCTTGCTCAGCACCTTCAGTGCAGCTCAGCTACCAGCCAAGCCAGGATGGGGCAGAGCTGCGACCTGGCTTTGTGCTGGCACTCCACTGCGACGTGGATGGGCAGCCAGCGCCCCAGCTTCACTGGCACATTCAAACCCCCAGTGGCACTGTCGAGATCGCCAGTCCCAATGTGGGTGCGGATGGGCGTGCCCTGCCTGATGCCCTACTGACCAGCGGCCCTCCACGCTTTCAGGCCTTTGCCAATGGCAGCCTACTCATCCCTGGCTTTGGCAAGCTGGAGGAGGGCACCTACAGCTGCCTGGCCACCAATGAGCTGGGCAGTGCCGAGAGCTCTGTGAATGTAGCCCTGGCCACACCAGGTGAGGGGGGTGAGGACGCGCTGGGGCACAGGTTCCACGGCAAAGCGGTTGAGGGCAAGGGCTGTTACACAGTTGACAATGAGGTACAGCCATCTGGGCCAGAGGACAACCTAGTGATCATCTATCTCAGCCGCGCTGGGAGCCCAGAGGCTGCAGTAGTAGGAGCAGGAGGCCCTGGGCAGTGGCTCCCAGACTTTCTCCTACTGGGCCTGAGTCTCCTCCTTGTCCTCTTCCTGGCCTGCTTCTAGCCACACCCTGCCCAGGCTGGCTGGGGCAGCCCCAGGGCCTCCTTAACTCCTCCCCTGGCCTGGTCAATGCCATGGGGTCTGGAGTGGGCAGAGCCTGAGCTGGCACTGGAGGACCTCACATTTTCCTACCTCCTCTTCTAAGCTCTTTTGGAACACTCACCACCCCAACTGCTAGGCATGCTCAGAGCTAGTGACTAGGATAGAACTCCATCCCAGAACTCAGTCTCTGGGGCTAATTGCTGCTAACAGTATTGCCCATGTCCCATTGGGGGTGCATGCTAACAGGGCAATGCCCTAAACCCACTGGGAGTTCTAGGCACTGGGACTGACAGCTGGCGAGGGCTGTGCAGGTGGGTTGCTGGGGCATGGCTGGGAAGGAGCTGAGAGGATGCACAGGAGAGGGAAGAGGGTGGGACCAGTGGCTAGGGAGGCTGGAGACTCTGAATGTCCTGCTCAGCTCTCCTGACCCCTTGATGTTTCCTGATGAAGGCATGGGACTCCTGGAAGGCTGAGCCTCTCTCTGCTCTCACCCTTCCTCACTCAGCCTGTGCCCTGGACTCCTGACCTTCCTTTCTCTCCAAGTATGCACCTGTAACCTGCCTCTCTGAAGAGGCCAGCCACCTGGGGGTGGCAGAGAAATAAACAGCATTTTTTATGTCCCCTGCTGTCTGCCTGCAATTTTGTCTGGATGTAGGAGTCCTTATCAAGGAGAATCAGGATGGTCACACGGGGGTGGCAGTTGTGCCTGCACAGGACAGGGGCCTGTGGCACACGCAAAGACTGTGTTGCAGATGGCATGGGAGGGGTGGCCCAGGGGTGGACTGTGGCTGGGTATATATTTCCTCCTTCCATATCAGCCCACAGGACAAAAGGGGCTGGAAGCCTGACATTACAGAGACTTTCCTGGTGACCCTGACAGTGCTTTGTGTCAGCAATGGCCTTGAGAGGCATTTTGAAAGGGGCAAGGCAATGAAGGGTCTGGGTTGTAGCCCCTCCTCCCTGTCCTCTTCTGGAAGAGGTTTTAGGAGAGGAAAGGGGTACAGGTGGTGCAAGAGGAAGAAGGGAGACAGAGAGGGAGCCAGGGGACACAGGACAAGGGAGAGAGACTAAGGCTAGGAGGATAAGACTTGAGGGAGAAGCCAAGGCAAATGACTGTGGAAGTGGTCTTCTGAGAGGAAGTCCAGGTGAGGACTACAGGCCCCTGTAGGAACTTTGTCCACAGAGTAGGGTGGGATACAAGAAGCATATGGATTGGTTAGATCCTGGAGGCTCTGCAGAACCCCAGACCCATTCTGGGTCAGAGATAGCCCCCTACTCCCTCTATCCTGCCCCCTTCAAGATTGGGAGTGTGCACAAAGGGACAGTGACCTAGAAGGGAGGCTCTGCACCTCTGCCCAGCACCCCCAGGAATGTTGAACTCAGCAAAGTAGAGGCAGGAGGTCAGGGAGTCTGGGGTAGCAGCTGTGAGCCCTGGCTGCTGGCCAGCGCCCTCCCCCACCTTCTGGCCCACAGTCAGGGCCATCTCCCCATCCCCCCCTCCCCCCAATTCGCCATCAACTTGCAGCTCTGGCTGAATTGATGTCACTAGCCTGGATCAAGGATGACTCCACATCTGATGGAAAATGGCAGGATGAGCCAGATCCCATGTGCTGTGGTACCTTGGGTAAGTCACTGCCCATTTCTGGGCTTCAGCTGTCTCAAAAATCAAATAGCAGAGCAGGACAGCGTTCAGTTGCTTAGGGGTCCCTTGGATCGATGATCTCAGACTTGGTGATCCTACCCTGACTTAGGGCCTGCTGTCTCAGCTTCATTACAACTGAGCAGGCTCAGCTTCTTGGGGTAGGGTTGGACCTACAGGCTGTCCCAGGGTGGCATGGGAACAGTTGTGCCTAGTGAACTAGCTACTCCCCTGTGCCACAGTCTTCTGAAGTCCCCAGTGCCCTCAGGGTGAAGTCTGGGGCAGCTATTTATAGACGCCCCCCCCCCCAATGGCTCCTCCAAGCCTTCTTGGAACTGCTAACTTAATGCTCCACGATGTGCCACCCTCTGCACCTTTACTTATGTTGTTCCCAGTCTGTGCACACCTCCTCATTCCTCATTTGGCTAAGTCTGTCTTTGAGATGTGTCTCATACTTCACCTCCTCCAGGAAGTCTTCCTGAACGTTCTCTCAACCCCAATATGAACCAAGCTCCCTCCTTTGGCCCACATAGACCTGGATGTCCTGTGACCCAGCCTGATCAGTCACTCCATTGTGACTGTTCCCTTGCCAAGGGCAAAGGTAAAATCTGGGTCCTCCTCCCTGTGACCCTCTAGTTTTTTGTCACAGGTCCAGGAAGGCATTTTCAGTGGGTTGCAAGGGGCACAGCGTTACATTCTTTGGCCTTCTTGGGCAGCCTGGAAGGTGGGTTTGAGCTCCCTGGTCCCACCTCGAGCTTGTGTGTGTGTGTGAGGCTACAGTGGAGTGGACCAATGTGCGTGTGGGGTATTTCTTGCAGTCATTGATCCAGATCTGTGCCGGGGCCATATTTTCCCTGTAGCCTGAAGCTCCATGGTGGGCCACACTCAGCTCATCTTCCTTATTTACACATTCCCCTACCTCCACCAAACCCCTAGTAGGGGAAGGGACTGCAATTTGCTTCAGTCCCCCTTCCCCTCTGCAGACTTGGTCTGCTGCCATTAGCACAGCCTTCTTGATCCCCCAGTGTGGCACCCCTTCACCTCCACACCTGCATTCACATGCCTTTCGCCATCATTCCTGAAGTGTCTTCGGCCAAAACCTTCCACACTGCTCAAGGGGAAGCATCGTGGGGACCCCAGTTTTCCCCACCCAAAGGGTCACAGTGAGGAGTTCTCTCAGCCCCCACCCAGTTCCCAGCCCAGCATGCGGCTGGAATACTCCTTGCCCACCCAAGCCCCATAAACACACAGTGGGAGTTTACTGACAGTATGAGTGGGGTGCCCTGTGTACCCTCCCCCATAAGGAGGACCATTTCTCAGGGACAAGTTTATTACTAGGAACACACTAACTTCTTTCATAATAGCTAAAGACGTTAAAACTACAACAATATCTGGCACACAGGAGTGGGTAGCTCGGTGTGGGGCCTGCTTTGAGTCATGACTTTGCTGGCAGGCAGGCTTCCATGTCTTCCTCCTGGGCTGCCCTTGCAAGCCCAAGGCCCAGGAGTCTCCTGGCCACTGTGGGAGAGGAGAGGAAGGACAGAGCTGGGGAGAGAGGAAGCCCATGGTGTGAGAGCCAGGGCTGAGGTGGGGCTGGGCTGGAATGCAAGGCGGTCCTGGCACTGAACCACCGGCGCCACTCAGGAGAGGCCTCCGTGAGGCCCCACAGGGTAGTGGCAGAGTCAGGGTGGGGAGAGGCCTGGGCGTGATCCCTTTGCTCCCCCTGCTCCTAGACCAAGCCTAGCCCACCAGTTGCTCTCTCCTGAGCCCTCAATAGCACTGCTGTGGCCAAGGTAGACCAGAGCCCTTCCAAGGCTCACAGAGTGAATAGACTGCCACCCAGCCACAGTGACCCCAGCCCCCAGCTGTTCACTGGGGCTCTGATCCTGGGGGTCAGAGCTGATAAATCCTGGCAGAGCTGCTGCCGCCAAGAGGGGCTCTGTGGCTGGGGTGATTCTGGGAGTGCAGGGGTGGGGACCGTGATAGGCACTGCAACACACAAGACAAGGTCCTTGGCCTTCCTCACCCTCAGGCCTGGGCACCATTGGCCCGGGCACCTGACAGGGCCGTCTTCCGGAAGGTCTGCAGGGCTGGGTTGTGCAGCAGCGTGTAGGCCAGAAACCAGCGGGCCCTGCTCCGGCTGGCTCTAGGCCCCGCTCCCTTGGCCACCAGGTCCTTTGTCTGTAGCAACTGCATCCCTGGGAGATGAAGACTTTCTGTGAGTCACTCCACAAACACTTGGCCAAGCCTCCCTAGTCCCCAAACCCAAGCAGAGAGTCTGGAAATCGCATGTAGGGTGGTGAGTCTGGGTTTCCGGATACCAGCTGGGAGTAGGAAGTCAGGAGTAGGGAGCTGGGAAAAAGATGAGGGGCAGGGGGTATTTGTGAAGCTCCAGATGTCACCTGGCAGGTGTGAAAACAGAGGAGGGAGAGGATGAGGTCTGCAGAGGGATCATAGGCCCAACTAGTACAAGGGTCAGGCTGGCTTAGTGTCCCCTCCTAACACGCACCTCCTGGGCGGTGGGAAGGAGGGGGACCTCTGGTGGGGGGCCATGGCAGAGCCCCTTAGTAAGGAAGTCGCTTTCTTCTCTGTGCACACATATGGTATGTGCGTGTATGTTCATATCATGGAAAAGACTACCCTGAAACTGGACCAGGAGGGGTGCCCACAGGCAGCCAAGGGAGAGAGGAAGTGAGAATTTTCCTGGCACTTGCTCTGCTGGGAGGGGCGTGCTAGGCCTCCTTCCTGGGAGAAACTGGGGGGCTGGGTCTCCCACGCTAAGGTAAGGGCACACCTTCTTCTTCCTCCCCCAGTCTGAGGCTGCCCTGGGGGTCTGCTGGGGTCTGCTGGAGCCTTCGGCCCCAGGCTTGAAGGAGCAGGGTGCAGAAGGCTGTCATGGCTGGATGTGACTGGCTGACTTCAATCTTCAGGAAGTTCCGGTATGCGTGGTAGCCTGGGGCAGGGCAGAGGATGCCGTGTTGGGGCAGAAAGGGCCAGCGGCACACTGCTGGCACTGACACCCCAACACACACACAGGAAGTATGCATGCACCCCTGCATCTAAGCGTGCAGACAGACACACACTGCGTGTGGGCACACGCACATCTGTTGGAACACACTGCAGAGCCACAGCAGCACACAGTGCACACCTGCACCACGTCCCAGATATCCTCCATGCACACATGGACCCGGATGTTAGGGGAGGCAGAGACCCATCACTGCTTGGGCAGCTGAGCCACCCCAGCCCCTGGCTTCTGCCCAGCGACCTTACCTGGGTCCAGAGTGGCAGCTCTTGGTGGCAGCAGGCTGAGGTCCATCTGCCCCAGATGGACTGCATTGTAGACAGCAGAGAGGAGCACACGCCAGGCGGCCACCACAGCACCCACCAGCATGTTGATGGGGAAGAGAAGAAAGGTGATCGCAGAGAGGACTCGCCTAGGACAGCAGGAGAGAGGCTGAGGCAGAGGTCCCCTGGGACCCCTTCCTGGGCCAGTTTCAGACCTCCATGCTTACAGAAGCTTTGTATTTCCTGAGTCCCACTGTTTATTGGGTACACCTGGCACCCTACCCCAGGTCTGGCCTTTTCTCTCTTAACCCAACACCCTGGGAGGCAGGTAGTATTGTCCCCATTCTGTAGAAGGGAAACTGAGGCCCAGAGAAAATGATGACTTAGCCAAGGCTAGCGCCTCAGGGATTTAAGTTCATATCCACCTGTGTCTTTCTATGACCCCAGTGTCTACAACCTGCCCTCTGGGTCCCCTGTCCATTAAAACCAAGTCCCTCAGGAGGCAGTTTCCCTGCCAGCCTTACCATCCCATTGGGCACAAAACTTCCTTCTTGCACAGCAGGAAGGAGTACGGTTCAGGGGAAACAGAGGATCTGGAGAGAGCAGCATTGATCCCCAAAGCAAGAAAGTCTCCTGGGAGGGGGCTGGAGTATAGCTCAGTGGTGGAGCATTTGCCTAGCATGCACGAGGTCCAGGGTTCAAATCATTATCACCACAAAACAAAACCAAAAGTCTCCTGGGGATAAATCTGGCCCCATAACTGGTGTACAGAGAAGTGTCTTGGAGTAGGCCAGGCCACTGTCCCTTTTCTATGTGAGTAAGGCAAGCTTTTTTTCTTACCTGCTGGGCTCCCTGATAGAGAATGGGAAAGAAGTCAATGGGGAGAGAGAGAGAGACAGAATGAAAGACACGGAATAAGAGGCTGAGGGAGCCTAAGAGGATACCTTACCGGTTGGTCAGTTCTGGGTGTCCATGGTGAGTCTCCAGGAAGACCCAGTAGGCTGCTATGTTCTGCAGAGTCACAGCCAGGGCCAAAGTCAGCCAGAAAGGCCTGCAGGTGGGGTAGGGAAGGTGGTTGCTGTTAGCAGCCCCTGGGGAAAGGGATCTGAGTCCTGGCTCCTTGCCTCACTCACCAGGAGGATTCCAGGGATCGTAGGAGCAGGAGGTTCCTGCCGTGGAGCACAGGTATGAACACCAGGAAGGTGAGAGCAGTGGTTCCCAGGAAGAAAATGATCTGCTGTACCACAAGGCCTGCAGGGAGCAAGGTGGCAGGGGACAGACACCGGGTTCTATGAAGCTGGCTGTACCACCAGCTACTCAGGGACTTTAGCACTGGGCTGACCTTGTTTCAGATTCCTGCTCTGCCACTGCCTACCTGTGCCACCTTGAGCAATTTGCATTGCCTCTCTGAGCCTCAGTTTTATCATTTATAGAATGGGGACAGAGGTCCCTACCTTGGAGGGCTGTTATGAGCATCCAGTGAGATCCTGTCTATGACAACTCTGAAAAACCAAGTACTTTGCAAATGTTATTCCCCAACTTGCTCCCGAGTTCTTGGAGACAAGACCACCTGTTAAATTAGTGTTTGTATTCCCAGGAGCCCGAGGATGGTACACAGTAAGTGCCTAAGAATTGTCTATGGAAACAACCAGGCCTGTATACACTATACACAGGATAGTGTATACAGAAAGGTTTGGGAGGTGGGATGTCGAGGATGAGAAATAGCCACTTTCAGTTCTGTTAATTCCTGCATTCCTCCGTCCTCCTTTTCCTCCTCCCCAGAGAGGTGAGATCAGGAGCTGAAGGGAGCTTGCTATGACTCAGCCCTCCTTACAGGAGCACCCAGGACCACCCTGCCTGCAAACACCTGGAGGCATCCAGTGCGTCTTCATGGACACCGCCCCCCACCCCCGGGTCCTGACGGCAGGCCAGGCTCTTGCTCCAGGACCTATAAAACACTAGCAAACCCTCGTGGGCACCCAGGCCCTGCTGAGTACCTTTCCTGTGGGGGGTGGGACAGGGGGCTCACCAAGGCAGGTGAAGGAAGTCTGGTAGGCACTGAAGCTCATCCAGTAGAAGATGGCCTGGCGGGAGGGGCGCTTGCTCTGGAGTGGAGGACCGAGGTCCAGGGCAGCGCCTCGGTGCAGAGCTTGGAGATTAGTCCTGGAATGGGAGGGAGGGAGGCAACGACCTCAGGGAGCAATGCACATCCTCTAAGGTTCCCCTGGGCCAGCCTCTGGCCAGACTCTCAGCCATCCGCAGGGAAGCTGAGAGCTCAAGAGCCTTAAAAGAGGGCACTAACTCAATCTGGGAAGTCTTCCTGGAAGCGGTGAGGTCTGTGCAGAGACTTAAAGGGAGACAAAACTAGGTAGAGGACTCAACCAGAGCCAAGTCACTAAAGTGGGAAATGATAGCAAAAATAGAAGAGATACAGCTTGACCACCAAGGCCAAGTATATGAGGAGAGCCTCAAATACTAGGGCAAGTGGGGTCACTGTGGAGAGAAGGCCTCAGGGCAGAAACTCCATGGCTTGTCAAATACATAGAACGTGTGGGCCAGACTTCCTTTTCCCACCCAGCCTGCTCCCCTTCAGAACCTCGGTTCCTCCTCAGAGTTTTTCATCACTGTCCACAGAAGCACAAATGGGAGGCTGGTGTTCAATGTCCCAAACAACCTCGCCAGTGCCCCGTACTGCCCTGCCACCTGCTCACCCTCTCGCTCATGTGTCCCATCCATCCAGCCTCTCTACTCCAACCCACACAGCTCCTTCTGCCTGTAGCACCCTTCATCTCTCATTGCCTTCCTCTTCCTCCATTCACAGGTGGAATGCTGGCTTAGCAAGGCTGCCTTACTACTTAACCCGGCCCCCAGGTGCCACCCTGGAGTAAGTCACGCCCTGTCTCACTGACAGGCTTCCCCCAATCAGAAATGCCCCCAGGACAGGCCAAGGCCCCCCTTCTCCATGTCACATTGCAGCTAACCCAAAGTGGACCTGGCCTGCAGAGGCCTCTCTCCTTCCAGCGGGGGCTTCCCCCAGGCCCTGCTGGGTTGGGTGTCCTCTAAGCTCACAGCACTCTGATCCCTGCCCCACCTCTACACTGGGTGAGTCGGAGCCTGACACTGACCTGTGTGTCACCAGCGAGCGGAGCAGGAGCAGGAAGGTGAGTGAGCAAGACAAGACCAAGGCTGAGACGTAGCACACTGGAGGGGGAGACAGAGAACACTGAGCGGTCAGGACCCGGAGGGTCTTTGGGAGCCTCTGATCCACTGCCAGGGGAGCTACCCCTGCCCCGTAACCTCACTCTGTGCAGACGCTGCTTGGCCACAGCACCAGTTCTCAGGTTCAGCGCAAGCCAGTATCTTCAGTGGCCCCATTCTGCCCTGTGACATATGGTGGCCAAGATGGGAAGAAGCCTGCTCTGAGCCACAAACTTGGCTTTCACTTTGTTCTTGTTCTTTGTTCTTGTTGCTCCCTCAGTGAGAGATTCCACCCCACCTGGCATCTGCTCCAGCACCACTGTTTCCTGGCTGTTGTGCCTTCAGGAGCACACTGAATTCCCACCCCGATCCCCTACCCCAGCCCTTGCTCTGTTCATGTGCACACTATGGGCCACACTGCCAGGCTGCCCATCTCCTGGGATCACCTGAGCCATAAACCTGCTGGTGCCTGCACAAGTGGCCTTTGTTCAGGGTAGAGAGGACATGAGCTCATAGCAGTGTGCCCTGAGCCCACCAGGACAAGGGAGGCAGCCACCGCTACCCATCTCCTCTGGAGTGGGCTCCTCCTCTCAGCTCCCTCACCCCCACCCAGGCCATGTGCACAGATAATAAGATAACGCTGGGTCAAGAGCGGCTGGGAAAAGTGGATGACGTGCTCTGACACGTATTTAAGAATATTAGGGACCCAGGCTGCAACCCTCCTGTCCTCATTCTGGACCTCACGCAGTCTGACACAGAAATCATTCACACGGGGCCAAAGAGGAAGCCAAAGCTCAGAGACCATTTGGTGTGGCCACCCCCTCGGTTAGGAATAAGAGAGCAACGAATGTCACCATGTCTAAGCAACTCCAATGAGCCAGCACGCAAGTGCTCTGATCTTGTAAGTCAGCCCAGGCAGTGCCCCTGTCCCTGGGTGTCCACCAGACACCCTGGAACTAGACAGCACCACACATGGAGAAGCAAGCGCTAATAGACATAGGTGCTGTGGCAGGGTGGCCCAGTCCTGGCAGTACATTAGGATCACCTGGAGCTGCCAAAACTCCCATGGACCAGGTTGTCCCCAGACCAGTTACATCAGAATCTCCGGGAGTCAGACTCAGCCTTGTGTGGTGAAAGCCACGTGACTGCATTGTAGCATCAGACAGAGCAAGTCCACGTGACATGATGTAGTTCTATCAGCAATGGATCAGAACCAACCCACTGCCCAGCACTCAAGCTTTGCTTGCACCCGAATGAATTATGGGGAAAGTTTTCAATCGCAGGTGCTGGGCCCCACCCTTGGGGCTTCCAGTTCAGTCCAGGTCTGCAGTGGCATTTTTTAAGTGACCAAAGTGGTTCTGAAAAGTGGCCAGGGTTGAGAACAACCTCTACAGAACTCCAGGCCTCTCTGTCTGTCCCTGGCTGCCTCCTCTAGCGCTCTTGTAGGGGCCCATTTCTGCAAGGTAGGTTAGAATAAAGCAGCTCCATCCTGCTGCATACCCCCCCCCCAACACCCCTGCCCTCTAGAGCTAGCTCAGCTCCAGGGAAGGAGCACGCTGGGCCTTCTGCTGCCTGCCAAGACTCCACATGAGCGGGGTGAAGGTTAGCAAGTCCCCTTGGCCAGAGCCTAGCCTTTGATCTCCACCTCTCTGCCTCCTGCTTCTCTCTCCCTCCATTGGTTTCCAACCAAACCTAAGTCCCTCCAAACCCTGGCACCTATAAAATCTTCCTTCTCTTTGCCACCTTTGGGGTCCTGCACCTGTCACCTACTGGGCCTCTTTGTAGATAGATCTATCTTCCCTCACCTATGGGCCTCCAGGATGAGGATGCCTTCTTAGCTTCAACACCCATTTGCAGACAGGGGAAACTGAGGCCAGGAGAGGAGAAGCTCCTTGTCCAAGATCACAGAGCTTATGAGTGATGGGGCTGCGAGTGTAATCTGGTCTGCCTGGTCCGTAGTCTGAGCTCTCTGGGAACAATACCAGTAGGCAGACCTAAGATAATCTCTCAGAGCTCGGAAGACATCAGTTCTTAGGCTGAGAACAGACTGAAGAGTCCCCAAGCCTAGCTCTGCTCTGAGTTCCAACACTGGACTGCTGAGTGGCCTTGAGGGTGTCTCTAATCCACCCAGCCCCGGGTTTTCCTATCCGTAAGTGAGAAAAATAAATGGCGCTCTGCTTGGCACTGTGTACAAGGATATGAAGTGGCAGCGTTTGGGTTCAGAAGGTGGGAGACACATCAGAAAAGCAAAGTGGGATGAGTACAAGAGCCCATTGCTCTGCGCATGTCTCTTCGTGCCTCTGAGCCTAGGTTCCCTGCTCTGTGACCTGGGACCAGCAACGCTCACCTAACGGAGCTGCTGCAAGCCAGCTCTGAGCTTGGATGTGGGCTCAGTTGGACTGTGTCTGCTCGTCTACGAGCAGGTCACAGCAGCTTGGGAAATCTCCCTGATGATGTCATATGTTCAGCCCACCTGGAACTTGTCACCTGTTCAGCTTTGGGGGGGGGGTGCCTCAGCATCAGTTCCAGGGCAGCTCTAGGGTGGGAGCCAAGGCATTCAGACAAGTGGTAGGGTGGAAATCTGGGAAAGAAGCAGCCACTTTGCACACCTCTGCCCACTTCCCACTCCCTGCCCTTGTGGTCTAATGTGTCCTTGTCTGTGGGACCAGAATGAGGTTAATGGTCACGAAGAGCTGAGGAATAGCCACTCTTCCACTTGCAATGCTGGCAGCCTAAGCTCCGACTATTGCACATTACTCTTTCGAAGTCAGGGTATCCATATCAACAAGGGGGCTCTTAAGTGAACCAAGGGCACCAGTGAACCCATGAGTCCTGACCATTAAGCTTGGTCTCAAGGTGACAGAGACAGCCCTGGCCTGGACTTTCCTCAGCTCCACTCTGCCTTGCTGTACACTTTTAGGCAAGCCCTTTCTTGGGTGCCAAGCAAGAACAATTCTGTTTCCTGCACAGGGTTTCTGGGAGGTGGTAGGGTGGGTGGACTGCAGGGCTGAGGCTGAAAGCAGTGTCAAACTACAGAAGGGATGGCTGTATTGTTCCCTGGCTTGGGGCTTATTTCAAGGGAGGCAAGGAGAAGGGAGATGGCCCAAACGCACAGGGACCGGGGAGAGAAAGCAGGTGCCCTGCCCAGCCCCGTCCGCTGCAAGGAAGACCAGCCCAGAAATCCTGACCACCATCTCACACCCCCACCTCCATCTGCTTCCCCATCTTCAGCTCAAATGGCCATGGCCTTCTCTATGGACACAGAGGCAGAACTGGTCAAAGACACAGGAGTGGGAAGAGGGAATGTCCAGAGGTGGACAGGGCTGTGGGGACATGTCCCTTAAGGGCTCAGGAATGTGGAACTGGAAGCTCCAACTGCCCCCATTTGCAGATGAGACAGTGGAGACCCAGAGAAGGCAAGGAACATGTCCAAGGGGCCCAGTGTGTCTGTGGCAGGCCAGGATCAGCTCAGGTATCCTTGCTCCTGTCCCCGTCTCGGAGGCCTCACCTTCCAGAGCCCACAGGTGGTGTTTCACCAGCTCCAGCACCTCCTGCTTGTCCTCAGACAGCACGATCCCGAAGCCGGCCATCAGGTAGGAGACGTCGGTGGTGAGTCCCGCCCTCACCTTCTGCATGGTGGGCACCACACTCACCAGCAGCAGCAGGGCTACCTGGAAGAGTCCCACAGTGAGGACGCCAGGGCTGTGCATACACCCAGCCCTGTCATCTCAGAAGTGTTTCCTGTGCTAACAAGAGAGACTTCAGGGAGCAGCCAGGCAGCAGGCTGGCTGCCGTCACAGGCCTGTCACCCACCAGAGTGTGCTCCTCTGCCCCTTAGAGCAGGTCCCCATGCCTCCAAATGGCATGTTACACACAGATAGAACTTTAGCTTAGCAGGTGAAAAACAGGCCTCCAACATAACCGCATATTTATAGCTCGGTCTGTCTGTCTGTCTACCATCTATCCAAAGTTCAGAATATAAGATTTCCAATCTTTCCATGTTAAAGAAAGAAAATATGTATCAACATTAAAACTAGACAGGCGTGGATTCAGATTTTGGCTGCCTGAGGAACTTGGCCAAGTCAAATTCTCTGAGCCTCAATTTCCCCAATCTATAAAATGGAGAGAAATTGGACCTCATTCCAGGATTTTGATTTTGATTATTTTTTGAGAGGGATACTGTTGGTGGTGAATAATCAAACATGCTATCTCACAAAATCCTCCCAACTACCCAAAGAGAAAAGTGATTTTCCATTTCTTCTATTTTGTAGATGAACTAAGAGGCTCAGAGAGTTGCAGTAACTTGCCCAAGGTCACCAGGAGGTAAACAATGGAGACAGGACTTAAACCCATGTTTACATAACTCCAAAACCGATGCTCTGAGTCCTTCTATGAACCTCACAAAGGCTGGCACCCCTCCTTCTGGGTAGGTCAACATTCCCAAGGTAGCCAGATGCAGCTGGATGGGGTCATAGGTGGGAGGGCATTTGGAAAACTGAGTTGGGTCCAAGCTGTTCCAGAGGGGTCAAGGACAGGCCCCAGGGGCAGAAGGCACCACAGGGTGCAGAACATACCTGGTAAATGGCTGTCCCTGTCAGGGTGGCTGAGATCACCAGCTTCAAGGGTAGGTGGAATCCTGTGGTCCCCCAAAAAAAGGGTGGAGTGCAGTGGTCAGTCCCACATCCCCCCAAGGGGCTCAGGAGAGGCCAGGGTGCCCAGGACCCTGGACCACAAGGCCACAGCAGGGGCTTCCCCTCATCCCAAGCTGAGAGTCATCTCTCATGGGTTCTGAGGACAGAAGCTGGTCCTCTACTGAGCAAAGTCAAGGCAAGGTCCCATCCCTCAGCCTCCGCACCCTGTCATACCTGGCTGTGGAATGTAGATGGAGTGCTGGAAGCAGGTCCAGGCCCGAGACAGGAGGCTATGTTTGTTGGTGGGACAGGAGCTGGAGATAGAACCAGGTGGGTGGCACCTCAAGCTCACTCCTCATCTCTGCCCACCGTGCTGCCAGTGCCAGTCTCCCATACATGCCTGCTCACCCAGCCCCATCCTCTAGCCTGTGCATGGGCCAGGGGCCTCACCAGCTGTCCAGCTTCTTCCGGCAAAGGAGGGTCCTCAGGTACTCCTCGGAGAAGGCACTCTGCAGACCCTGTGGAGAAGACACATGTCAGAGTCATCAGACCTGCTTGGAGCTATCCCTGGGCCCGGCATAGGGCACTGAGTGGGCAACACACATGTCTCCATAAACCCTCCTGCTGTGGCAGGGGTGGAGTAGGGGAGGCTGACCTATGACCTATGGGGACAAGGTTTACACCCTGCAAAACTGCCTTCTCGTCTAGAAAAATACAAGACCTGTCAGAGTCCTATCAAAGAACTCACAGTGTTAGGAAGTTCTTCCTAAGATCTATCTCCAACTTCCTCCTGCTTTACTCAGTCATATCTCATCACAGCTTCCCTCCCAACCCTCGGCCTCTTCTAACCAGGATTGATGCAAAGGGGACACCAGGTCCCATGGCACATCAATGACGAGGACACAGGATGGCGCCAGTCCAGGGAGGATCCCCCAGGCTCCTACTGCTGCCAGTCTGGTGACTGGATTTGCCTAAACCACATTCCAGGCCTTAATCTGCCTGCTTAAATTGCAGAGGCTCATGGGAAGATGGGGTGAGCTGCTGCTCTGTATCACTGGGAAAAAGCAGGCAATGGTCACCTGTTGCCATGGCAACTCCACCTCCCTCCCAGGGCAGGAGTGGATCTGCTCAAAGTTAGACTGGGTGCTTTGTGGCTTAAATGTCTTTGACTGAAGTCCAAAGAGGGCTTGCCATGGAGGGCAAGCGAGGTGAGGCAGAGAAAGTCCTGGAGAGGCAGAGATGCCTGTGCCAGCTGTGAACCTGGAGAGGAAGGACAGCAGTCTTCCTGGGAGGAGTCTGGGGGACAGGAGGGCAAGAGTGGCAAGCACTTAGGGCCCTGCTGGCTGCCTTGCCTGTGCAGGAGCCAAAACAAGACGCAAGGCCTATTGGAACCAGAGGGGCTGTGCAGGAAGCTGAGCCGCTCACCTCCCTTTCCTCTTCATCCTCTCCATCCTTCCTCAAGCCCGAGCTCTTTCTCTGGCTTACACCTGTCACAGCCCTGTCGCTATGTTAAGCAGCACAGGCCCATGAGAGAGCATCACCTGGTGTGCCCCTGCTCCCAAACCTCCTGCCCACACCCCCTGCGGGTGTCCTGACTCCTCCTCCCGGTCTGTCCTGCAGCTGCCCCACCTGGAGGAACCAAGTCCTTTGGGACCTGCGTCCTCAGCCTTTCCAGGCTGTCCCTCTTCCCTGAGGGCATCTGTGGAGTGTTCCTCCTCCTCCCCACCCACCAGGAAGTCACATGACCCCCTGCACATGTTCCCAGGCATGCGTCACTGTAGCACTGTCAGAGTTTGCCCTGCGCCCGCATTCCTGCCCTGGGGCAGCTAATGCAGGTAGCTGGTCACAAATTTCAGGACCTGACATCTTTTAAGAATTGTCTCAGGAGTGGGGAGGCCTGGGGAAAGGAGTAGGAGGATAAAATAGGGTGCAACTAATGTGCACACATGTATACAAGTGCAAAATGAGACCTGTTGAAACTGTTCCAAGAATCGGAGGGAGGGCGGAAGGAGAGCAGGGGAGGGGCTGAATTCAACTGTGATGTATTTGATACATTGTAAGAACCTTTTAAATGCCACAATGTACCCCCACCCAGCACAGCAATAAAGGAAAAAAAAAAAGAATTGCTTCTCTCCATAATATATCCATCCATCCAAAAATTCAAAATATTTGCTGAGTACGTATTATGTGCACAGCCCGGAGCTGCAAATGTGGTCCTGAACAAAACGGCAACCCCCCACCGCGCCCCCGCTCCCACCCCCTTAGTCATGCTCCATCCTTTGCCTGCAGCAGTCCCTGTTCTTATTCTCTCACCACTTCAGTTCCTCCCATCCTTTAGTCCTCCACTGAAGCTGCCCTCCTCTAGGAAGCCCCCCAGACCTCCTGTGCCTGACATCCTCCACAGCCCTGCCCCCAGGAACCCTGAAGTTCTAGACTGCCTCAGGAATCCAGCTGGACCTTCAGTGTTTCAAAGACTCCTTTTCTGGTTCAGTTCTTTGTTGAGTCCTCACTGTGCGCACAGTCCAGTGCCCTGGGTACCTTGGATGCTGGTCAAGGGCCCAGCCCAGCCTCTGCCTGGAGACAGGGCTAAGCAGTCACTTGGTGGCTCAGAAGACATTTTCTGAGCACATGTTAGGTGCTAAGCCCTACACCAAGCCTGGCCATTACAGGGGGCTGCAGACATGGGGAAGTCCGGGGTCTTGGTGCTAGATAGCCACCTCCCCCCTCCCTGCCCTGCTCTGCTCTTTTACCTTGGAGCCTGCCCCTGTCCTATGACGGAAGCTCCGTACCAGCTGCACTGGGTACCAAAGGCTCAGGAATCCGAAGCCCAGAAAGAGAGGCACGGAGGCCAGCAGGGCGTAGTACTTGTAGATCTGCAGAGACAGACAGACAGACAGACACTCGAGCAGACCTACTTTCTGCCTCCCTCCCAACCAAGTAGGAGACCTGTGTTGCTTCTCACTCCACACTGGGCCTTGAGGGTCTGGACCATGGGAAACTTCAGGTTCTGTGCCCCCCACCCCCAACCTGGACCAGGCCTCATACCATAGCCACTTCCCTTCTCAGGCCCAGCAGAGGGGCTCCTGGGAAGAGCCAAAGAGGAGAGACCCAATCCTCCCCCCAACCCCTAGGGGCTGCAGTAAGGCCTGGGACAGGATCCCTGCTTTCTAGGTTCCTGTGTTAGGACACAGGCCCCCAAGAACTGGACGAAGGCCTAATTTTGTCTACATGTAGTTTGCAAACTGGGATCAGGGAAATCCAAGCCCTGCCTCCCAGGGTTGAGGCCTTCCTGGGTAGGCTCCTCAGATAATTGTTCATTTATTCATTAATTCAGTGTGTCTCTGTTGAGAGCTTAGTGTGCAAGAGGTACTAGGTGTACCAGATTCCAGACTCACCAAGTTCCCAAAAAATTTGCTAATCTTCACTAATCCCTGGAGGGACTGGTGTTATCCACTCCATTGACAGGTGGGGAAACTGAGTCTCAGAAAGGTGACACTGTTTCCTCAGAACACTTAGCACCACCTGCTATCACTTTGCCTGTTCACTTACTCATCGTGTCTCCACTCCTGGGAGACCAGGACCTTGGTTAGTCGTGTTTGTGGCTGTATTCTAAGGCCTGGAAGAGTCCCTGGTCCAGAGCCTCAAACGTGTTTGCTGAATGAAGTTGTGAGTGCATGCATGCATGAATGAATGGTGAAACTGGATCCAAACTCGTGTTGGCTACTCCAAACCACTACTCTTTGGCTCTACACTAGGCAGCTTCATAGTTCTAGCCAGCAGCTAGTGAAGCAGGTGCTGAAGCTCTGGATTTCCCTGTTAGCCCCAGACTACTCCTAAGCTCAATGCCTACCATCCTCAGTCTCCTTACTTCCTGCCTGAAGGAAGGCCAGTGAGTCAGTGATTGGGACTGGGCTGAAAGGTACTGAAGGCAAAGCCCTACTCCTGTTCCCTACCTCCCCCCTAAAGAAGCCAAGCTTGTCACAGACACGTGTTCAAAGGGAGGAGATCCCATGGATGGTGGAAGGAGGCAGAGAGGCCCAGTGTAAAAAACAGGCAAAATGAGCCGTGTCTGTTGAAGCAGATCATCTGAGTGCCTCTCTGCCCTAGGCCACAGTGAGTCAGAGCTTACCTGGGGTGTCTGGGGACATTCTGTTCTCTGCCAGACGTGGACACCAAAGTGGGCCCAGGACAGTGCAGTTCCAAGCAGATGTGCGGCTCTGTGCCTGGCTGTGGCACAAGCAGCCAAAGGGTAGTAGAGGCTCGGGTAATAGAGCAAGGCCAGCATCTTCCAAGGTCCTGGTAGGCAAATGAGAGAAAGATACAATGGAGGGGACCCTGGAGACCTGGAGCCTGGGCATGCCCACCCAGGCCTCTCCCTTGTCCCCACTTTCCAGGCCCCTCAGCTGGTTCAGTGGGCAAGAGCTCTGGGTTCAAATGCAGGCTCTGACCACCATTGGCTCTGTGATCTGGGACAAGTTACCTCTTGAGGACTTGACTTCCCCATCTGTAAAGTGGAAATAATCAGAGAGAGTTAGCAAGGCCAAGATGAGAAGAGATAGATACAGTAGTTACGCAGAGGCTGAGTGAGTACTAATAAATGAAGTACCATAATGACTGTAAATCAGGCTACTACCACACTTTGTGGAGACTGAACAAGCACAGAGGTCATGCTTCAGTCGCCCCACTCCCCTTTTGTCAATTTACCATCACCTCCTCCAGCCAAGTGTGACACCCCAGGATCCCACCCTGTCACATCCCATCAGACCAGCCAGGGGTCTCCCTGCACTGGGTACCTGCACCAGGTGTTGAGATGAGGCTCAGGAAGGGCAGTGGGTCCTCGTTGGGGACCAACAAACACAGGGCACTGAAGAGAATCATGAAGACAGCAGCTGGCACTGTCCATGGTCTGTCCCCAGCCAAGAAGTCCACAGGGCTGGCATAGACGGGGATAGGACAGGAGGCATATCACTCAGTGCCTGTGCCCCCATTACCTCCAAGCTATGTTCCATAAACCAGGGAGGTCAACTGAGTCCCACGGTCCAGATGGGACAAGTGAGGCCCTTCGTCTTTCATTCCACATGTATTTGTGGAGTGCTTCCAATCTACTGAGCGCTGGGCCTGGTGGCTGGGGGACTCGCACGGTGGAAACAAGCCCTAGTACCACTTTGTCCGCCCACCCTGGAAGCTCCAGGAAGCAGCCGCCTTCACACAAATACATCTGTCTGTCGGAACTGGCAGGCCTTCAAAGAGCACAGCAAGTCATAACATCCTTGTGCAACAACCGCCACCCTGGAGTGGGTGGGGACCAGGCAGAGCAGACAGAGGGCACGGCTGTCCCAGGCATCGCCCTTTGGGGCTCAGACAGGTCACTAAGATCTTCTGCTTCTTCTCATTGCCCTTGTGCTCCAAGATGCACATCCTGCCTCAGTCTCCCCAAGCCCTCTCCCGGGCAAAGTAAGCTCCTTCCTACACCAGCCAGAGACTGCAGGCTGGCTCCCCATAAAGCCAGCATGGCAGTACTGTCCCACTCAACCTGGGTTTAGGGTACAAAGCTGGTCCGTGCTGGGGCTCCACCTGCCACCTCTCCCAGTCCTTTGGCGTCTCCCTCTCTGCCCAGTCGATGTCCTCACGGTAACCCCTGAGGCCTCTGGGGTTACAGGGGAAAGGAGTAGCAAGTTCATGGAGCTAGAGGTCAGTCCCTCATAAGTCAGGGTCCAGATGACACCCTCAGGGGAAATGAGGCCCAAGACAGCATCAGGTGGTTATGGCCAGTCTAGAGCCACCATGAGAGCTCATGTCTCCCCTAGAGTCCTTTCCCCCAATTTCCTGGGCAACAGGAGCAGGTGGACCAAGCCACTCTCTCCTCTGGTGGATCTTCCAAGGGTCCTGATTAAGCCAGGAGATTTGGGTGGGCTGGGGAGAGTCCCAGACTGAGAAGGGGAAGGACGTCACTGAAGTTAGCCCTGACTTTAAAGTGCCTAATAAATCACCCACCCAGCCCCAGAATGACCCTGTCAGCAGAGGTCCAAACAGGCATGTGCACCCAGGCCCCAGCACCAACCTGGGCAGTCCGGGCCTGCAGTGCCCACAGCTCGGCCAGAGCTGGCGGCGCCTCGCCAGTATAGCCAACAGCAACAGGGCAAGGAGCTGAAAAGAGAGCAGAGAAGCAGGCTTGGATGCCCAGGTTTTCTCCAAGGGGATTAGTCCCAGGCCTTGGCCCTGGTCAGTCCCAGAACAAACCCCCACCTGCCCTGGGTAACTCATCATAGAGCATCCTGTGGACTGGCCAAGAGGTGACAGCATCTGGGAGGCAGGACTTGGTCTGCACCTTGGTTTGGGCCCCCATTTGGGGAGAATTCTCAAGCACTACCTCCCTCTCCCAGGGTCTCCCAGGTCCCTCTGCCCAGGCTGGCAGCAGGTGGCAAGCCAGGCTGGACTCACCGACAGCGAGGCCAGGCAGGCATGGTGCAGTGCAGGCAGTACACTGGGTTGGCAGGAGGGCTCTACCCTGCGGAGCAAACAAGCGCTGGCTGGGCCTGGTGGGACCCAGGCGCACCCTATTTTCCACAGCCCTGTTTATCGATAACCTCCACTTCCAGGAAGACTCCCTGACTGCTCCTGGCCTCACAGACCCACATCACCTAGATCAAGCAATTAAGAGTTTAGTTCTGATTTGCCATCTACTTGCTGGTATCTCAAATTGGTCTGTGACTAGAAGGATCTTTCTTTGGTCCCCTCTTTCCCTGTTTCTTTCTCATTAAGAACTTCCACGCACAGTTGGACAGGTTGCACACTGAACAAGGATGTCCAGTCAAGGAATGAGTATGGTTAGAAATCCAGGCTACACTGCCCACCATGCCGTGTGCCCACTGAGCTGAATATATCTGAATGGGGTCCCCTTTCCTAATCACCACAAAGGCTGGCAGAGGTCCTGCTAAGCAGAGGGAGGCCCACAGTGGAAATAAAGAGTTCAGTGACTACAGTGAAAGCCTCAGCTTCCCTGGGAGGTCATGTGGCAGAGAAAGCTGCTCAGGCAGGGGTGCAGTAGGATCCAGCACAGAGGCTGGGTCCCTGGGTGGGGTAGACTCTAGCTTATCCAGCTTGAGCCTGCAAGTCAGAGAGAGGCTACCCGTGTGGCAAGGGCCCTCCATGCCCTCTTGGGCATCTGCCTGCTGTGTAGACGGGTCCCTGGAATGGTCTACCTGGACAGCCTCTCCTTCCTGCTTGCTTTCTCTCTGGCAATCCCAGAGGGGATTGCCAGAACTGGCCTCCCTGGGCTTGTTGTAGGGTGGTGGAACCAAATAAGTCCATTCTATGCCACTTCTCAGTCAGGGCAGAACCAGAATCTTCCCCAAACAGAGCTGAGCTCTTGGACAGAGTGCGTGCCTTGTAGAGTTCAGGGCACCCAGTTCCCACTGTCTGAGCCCAGACCTGGTATTCTCCACCCCCAGCTCTGTGGCCTGTCACTCTCATATGCCCTGTACAAGGTAGATTTGGGCTCTGACCAGCCCCGAAGGTTCAGCGCCACCACCCATCCCCTCAGCTGCCTGTCCTCACAGGACTGGGTCCTTCCCAGCTTGTTCCTGGAGCAGTGTGGCCATTTGCCCATGGACCCCCACCCCAAGCCAAAAGCCATTCCAGCTCTGGGGACCCCCTCCAGGGCCTTGTCGGGGAACCCCCAGTCCCTTCTGTACCCCTTGAGGATGGCAGGATGGCACAGATGGCACCATCTGTAAGAAGCTCCCTCCCAGGACAGGCACAAGCAGGGACTTGAATACAGAGGAAGAAGAGAAAGTTCAGGCATAGTGGTGTTCAGGGATGTTGGATTTGAGTCTTACGCACAGCCCGGGAAGGAGAAAGAGGGTGAGGAAGCAGAGCACGAGTGGCAAGTCTTTTAGCTTGGTGGCCGCACAGAGAGGAGCCCAGAGCAGGTTAGAGCCCGCACAGGAGGCACTGGGAAGCCGCAGAGCATGTCTGAGCAGGGCAGGGTACTGGCGCTTAGGAGACTTCGGTGACTGGATTCTGTGGCTGAGGCCACTGTCACCAGTGCCCACCAACCCAGCGCTAGCCTGACCGTGCCAGGCACACTGAGGCCCAGAGCGATCATCTGCAGCGCTCCTGCAGCGCCTGACTCACAGAGGAAGGTGAACTCCAGTTCCTTTCCCCGGGATTCCCCTGAACTCCCAGCTTCCCACTCCCATCTTTGGGGGAGGGGAGGGAGGGGGGATAGGCTGCAAGTATCTTCACTTGGTTTTGCTCAATAACTAGATTTTGCTGGTTTAAAAGTAGGTTCCTCTTCATTCTTAGGGTACCGTGTCCTTGTATGGGGGCTGCAAATTCCAGATGCTACCTACATGAAAGGCTGCACTGCCCAACCCTCAATCCCTGCTGGGCAACACGCTCTTTTTTGAGACTACATCTAGATATCCCAGTTACACCTGGCTGCAGGCTCCAGGCCCCAGCCAACGGTACCAGGGCCCTGACACTCCCAAGGTCACAATTCCAATTAAGGGCTTAGCCCGTGAGATCTTGGACCTCATGAAGCTCCTAGGCCTTCCACCCCAGCCCATGCCTCCACAGCAGGGATGCAGCAGGGATGCCCATCTCTCTCCAAGTCAAGTAGCCAGGGAAGGCAGTGAGGGCATACCCTTGCTAAAGACAGGACTGTTCTCCAGGTGGTCAGAACCCCAAGTCCTCCAAACAACAGCTCCTTCCCCCAAGCACGGGTGGGGCCTCTGTCCCTGCTGGGTGACCCCAGCCTGGTTAGGCCACAGCCCCAGCCTCTAGGGAGGCACGGGAGCATTTTTCCTTCTCTAGTTACAGATTTTAATGGAGAACAGATGTGCACACATCTGGCTCTGCACCTCCCCCAGCCTCACCTTTTCAGCTCCCCAACCCTCAGACAGAGCAGGGAGGCAGGGTATGGGGCCGGGGCCAGGAACAACAGGGGAGAGCTGAGCTCTGGGTCCCACAGAGGCGGGTGTCCTTGGCAGTGGAGAGGGGCAGAGAAAATTCCAGCTCCTCCACCAGAGTGCCCAGACTGGACACAGATTAGAAGGCTCTGGACCAAGAGTCCTCGGTCCACCCCAGGGTGGGCTGGGCTGCTTCTCTCCTGCCTCACCCTCCCCTAGGGTGGCCTGAGTACTTTTAACTACACAGAACAGGACCTCCTGGTCCTCCTTCCAGAGACTCTGAGACTCCCAGGACAACAGTGGGTGGCAAGTCTCCCAGGACCTCCCGGGTTCTCCTCAATGCTTGTAAAGCCCCCCATGTAAACCTCAACCCTGAGTCACCACCACAGAGACCAGTGGTCCCTGAACACCACCTCCACTGCTTCCCATCCTGGCTCCAGGCCGGATCTTGCGGGGGTGTACCCCAGGCCAGCTGGATCAGATAAAACTGGAAAACTATGTTCTTATTACCTCACACAAGTGCTTTTGTCACCATTGATACCAGCCTGGTCTGGGTGTCCCACCTCAAGCATCTTCACAGCAGGCAAAGCCGTTGCCCTCAGGTATCAGAGGCAGAGACTGACACCAAAGAGGCTGTGACTTGCCTAGGATCACACAGCAAATAAGTAACAGCCCAAGTTCCTCACCCCCTCCAATTGGTAACCTTGGCAACTCCCCACTCTGATGGCCAACAGGACTAGGGGTGCCACACTTACCCCTCTGACTGGGGCTCCTTGCCCTCCTGGGGCTCATCGATGTACCAGCTGCTGTAGTCTTCAGCAAGCCCGAAGGAGGTCTGGTTGCCTGCTGCCTGGGACGCCATTCTCTGGCCCTTCTCCCTTGACCCCCAGGCAAGAAAAAAAAAGCCACCACAAATGTGAAAAGAGGCTTAAAAGAAAAAAGAAAGAAAACCCAAACAAAGAAACATTTCTTTTTAATCTTAAAGGTTACTTTCTTGCATTTAGCTCTCTGGGAAAAGCTGGTTTAGGACTACAGGTCCTGGAAGGCATGCACAGGAGGGGGGAAGAGCCTCTCACGAGTCCCCTCCTGTCTCTTCCCGCCCAATCTTGCCCTGTTCCACAAAGACAGTTATTTCTGTGCACCTCCTTGATGTCGGGGTTGCGCCTCTCAGGCCAGCTGACCGGCCTTTGTTCAAAGGACCATTTTCAAAGAGGATTTTCCCAGTCCCAGCTGCCCACAGAGACCCCTTCCTTTCCCGCCCCAAGCCCACTCAGATGGACCCACAGACACTGCAGAAGGAGGACCAGGGAGGAAGGAGCTGCAGAGATGAAAGGGTGGGCGGGCTGCAGGCGGCTCCATTCGGTCTGCCCCCGCCAGGGCCTCCCAGCTGGGTTCCCCACCCCTCCTGCTCCAGGGGTCCAGCCCAAGCCCTCCCCCCTTTTCTCACAGCCTCAACCTGCCCCCTCTCTGACCCCTTGGGCCCAAGTGATGGGAAGACACAATAATCCTGAAGGTGTGCCGCCAACAGGGTCCTGCACTTGACCCACGCCTGACCTGCACACATACCTGTCCCTGAGCTCCCACACCTCGGCCCAACACTGCTGCAGAATCCATCACAGCCATCCCAGAAGAGTCTGCTGGGGCCCACAGGCAGGGAGGCAGGGAGGCAGGGAGGGGAACCTGTCCATGTAGTCTCCTGAGTTTCCATGGAGGAGACCACACGTACCTCACTGGTAAAACCTTTTTGTTCCTACAACTTGATTTCACAAGAAAATAACTCCACAGGCGGAAATGAGTCCTTTTAAATAGGAACCAGACCCATGGGCAGGCAAGAAGCGCCCCGCCTGCCTGCTGCTGAGCCCAGCCTGGGGTCGGGGTTCCTCCCATCCTCCTCCCAGAGGAGTGAGGAAGGAGTTAGACCCCTGGCCTCCTTGCCTCCCCTCTCTCTCCTTGGCCCAACCCGTGGGGAGGGGCGAGACGCAGACAAGGCAGACAGCAGCTCTCTGCCACTACCCCTGGGTATGTGGGGGGAGTCAGGCCCCTGAAACCCTGGAGATCCCCGTCCTTCTACTGCCTCACAGGGGGCTTTGCGAGGCCCTGCCCAGCTAAGGCATTCAGCCGCAAGCTTTTTTTTAAAAAAAGACAGTCATCCATTTTCTTTTCTTTCAGCAGAAACTTACTAAACATCTGTGTGCCAGCACTGTTGTGGGCCCTGGGGGGAGGAAAAGCACAGTTCTGGAGGAGGAGGGCAATGAGGATAGCGCCTAACCTGCAGAGCCTGAGGGTTGTGGACAGCCATGGTCCATATACCATGTGAACTGAATGTGGCCTGAGAAAAACAAGGATGAGAAAAATTCCTAAAGAAAATCACCTTTGGGAAGAGACCTGAAGTCTGGGGAGCAGGGGGATATGTGTTCCTTGTAGAAGGAACAGCCTGGGTGAATGCTCAGAGTACACAGGGCTGGCCTGTCCAAGGCAGCTCTCCACATTCCTTAGCCAGGCCCACAGGGCAGGATTAAGGCCCAATTAGGGCCTGTTCCTCCGCCTCCTTCCCATATTACCCCTCTTCCAGTAAGAGGGTTTCAACCTTCTCCCCATCCCACAGAGGAGTCACTGTGCTGACTCACACTGAACCTGAGGTTTATTTGATGCAATGCAGGAGCCTGTGTTCTGGCCCGTATCTTGATCCCAGGGATGGGGAATCCCGCTTAGTGTGGGTACCCTGGGGGTTGAGCCCTGTTTCTTCCCTTCCTTCCCCCAGGCCTGGCTCTGAGGTCACAAGGACTTTAGAAACTGAGCTGAGCAAAGCCACTGGTTATTCTGATGATCGTTCATGTTTGTAGGGGCCTGTCCTGGAAGTCTTCTGTGTGTTTTGAAACTACCAGTCAGGCTCTGCTCCAACGCCAGAGCCCAGCATGCCCTTCAGTCTTCAGGGGACTCAGACCTGCAGCTTGGGGGGGCAATCCAACAAGTGGGCCTAGTCTCAGACAGGGAGCTCACAGCTCACTTCCTGCACAAGGCACAGATGTTCCTGGTTGGATACCTCTGCCTGTTGGAACACTGTCCTGCTTTCTCCAGGCTGGTTTTCATTCATTCATTCGACAATCTTACACATGTCTCTCCTGCTGGTGATACCAGCAGCAAGTCCCACATGTCCTGGGATGGGAGGGATATGGGGGCTATGTATATAGGAGAATGGGAGGGTCACCTCATGGGATGGGAGAGTCCACACATGTGCCATGAGTGCAGGGGAAAAGAAAGCAGACAGGCCATGGCTGTTTTAGAAGGAATGGCTTCACTGAGGGGGTGATCTTCAGTTCATTACTGAAGTTAAGGACCCTCAGACTGCCCGAAGAAGCCCCCATCAGCCTCAGCGGTGCAGCCATAGCCATGGCTGGACCCAGTTCCATCTCCCAGGACTACACCTGCTCCCTGGAGGACTTCCTGTGGATTCTGTTCCCACCCTCTCAATGGTCCAGGACTCAATTATCACATCCCTTCCTGCAGGGGAGATGCAGAGGCCATCCTCAGGAAGGCCATAGGCAGAGGTGAGGATAAGGTAGGCTTTATGGGCTCTCCACTGGCTGGCACCAGCCCAGTAGGCAGACGCAGCCTCAGGACTGGTGCCTCAGGGGAGAAGTGTTGAGAAGTAGCAGGTCAGGAAGGCAAGGTGGGTTCCTATAAGGCAGTGGGTAGAGAGGCAGCCTACCTGAGTTTGAGCTGTAGGGCTGAAGCTGTGGCCTTGAGAGAGCCCCTTCTCAGGTCTTGGCACCACCTCTGCAGCATCCAGCCTACAGAGTCTTCTACTGTGGGTTCTCCCCCGCTCAAGGCCCCCTCTCCCTGCCTCAGTGACTTCATAACCAGAGAATTTGGAGTCAGCACGCAGACACTGTTATAGCAAGGAGATCAAAGCCACAGTGTCTGACTGTGGCTGTCCTGGTGCCCCCACTGCCTTCCATCTCCTGGCCCCAGCAACCCCATCTGCTCTCGAGGAGCAGGGAGCAGGCCAGGTTGAGGATCCATGGATTCAGGGTGGTAACAGCCAGCTACAACTGGAAGGCAAACCCCACTTCATGAGCCCAAGGTACCTCCTCAGCCTGGGACCAGAATAACACGAGTTTCCACCTGCAAATGGAGGTCAGGAAAGAGGCCATCTGGGCAGGCTGCAAGCTGGCAAGAAGCATTGCAGAGACAAAGACGCCAGGATGGACCCCTGAAGAATTTCTCCAAGGGCCTGGGCAGCAGAAGCTTGAGCCTGCCCTTGGGGATCAGCTCCAAGAGGCTTTCACACCCAGAAGAGTTGGAGGTTAGCCCTGCCCTCAGGAGAGGAGTCTGGGAAAGCAGAGGCTCTTGGGAAACAAAACTGCAGAGGCTCAGAGTTGCAGGGTGAGGGGAATGAAGAGATTGCTGGGGGATCTTGCAGGTTTCCTAGAGGAGGGAGTGTTTTAACAGGGCTCTGAGACCAGAGAGGATCAGGAATGGTGGCAAGAACAAAGAAGTCTAAGCTGGACATGGTGGCATGCACCTGTGACCTCAGCACTCAGCAGGCTGAGGCAGGGGGGTCAAGAGTTCAAAGCCAACTTGGGCTGCATTGCAAGAAAAGAATGAAGTCTAAGTGTCTTAGGGAACTGAGAAGGGAGTGCAAGAGGCAAGAAGAGCTTAGGCAGGGGTCAGGGTGGGGCTGTCCTCCAGGTGGCCTGCATGGGCCCCTAGGACACCCTCAGATGAGACCGATGTTAAGGTCCCAGGAGCAGCCAAGGTCAGCGGGACTCCCAACTGGGTGTGAATCTCATCTCAGGGTGGCTAAGCCCTGCCCACGGTGGGGAAGGGGTCTTACAAACCTTAGGAACTCAGCCAGGGAAGGCCATCGGCCATCTGGGCCTGGCAGGGAGCTGATCTGCCCCTGGGACTGGAGCTGGCCCTTGAAGGCTTTGGGATAGGGCTTCCTTCCTCTCCATGTTTTTGTTCAAGTTGATTAAACCTGAGGAATGTCTGTGTCCAGGGACAGAGGCAGCGTGCAGGCCTTCAGCTGCCTGTGGTTATCAAAATCTTCAAAGGGCAAAGTGCTAAACTTGGAAGGAGCTAACAGCAGGCAAAAGGAAGAATGGCAGCATCCCAGAGCCTCAGAACCCTCAGAACTCAGAAACACCACGGAACCATTAAAACACCTCAGGACCTCAACTTGCTCTCCCAGGATACTCAGATGCTGGCCAATCAGGATGCACAAGACAGTCCAAGCCACAGCCAGCAGCTGCCAGAGCCCAGACACAACCCCCACCCCCTGCCGCCACTATGATCACTCTCCACCCTCCCATCCCAGCCCCAGGCTCTGATCCAGCAGCATATTCCAAAGTCTAACAACACCCAGGCTTCAGCATCAGCCCACCACAGTCCCAGTGGGTGCTTCAGTCCCGCAGTGGGGCCTGGTGGTGGGCCCCCCTAGGCAGCCCAGCCACCCTTCTCACACCCCCCTCCCCAAGCCCATGAGGAAGCAGCCAAGGCAGAGCCAGGCCCCAGCAGGTAGGGCCTTCGGGTCTGCGGGCATGTACAGAGTATGCACACTCACGCACCTTAAATGGCCCCAGCACACATAGGGCCAAACACTGGCCCCAGACTGCCTGTCTTCACTCAGTGGCCGGAAAGCAGTGCAGTTGGCCACCAAGCTCCTCTTCCTGCCCCCTTGCCATGCAGTGCCCTCCCTGGAGCTCTCATGCCCCCTCACTGACAGCATCCTCCTAACACAAGGGATTTGCCCACACTGCTCTGGTGGAAGTGTGGACACTTCCACTGGGCAGGAGGAGAAGGAAGAAGGCAGCGGGCTGTTCTATGGGAGTGGCACATTCCTCCTCCTACTAGGACTGACTTGAGGAGGGACAGAGGGAAGCAGAGATGGCTCAGGATGAAGGTGGCTTACTTACTCTCACAGTAGTGAGCCTCCTTTCAGGGGAGGTAATCAAGACAGGATAGCACCACCACAGAGTAGCCTTAAGAAGAAGGCTTCATGCTGGACACTGGCTGCTGGGAAGAACCCCTAAGAGCCACAGGACCAGGCTGTCCAACCTTGTGCTCGCAAGCATTTGGGTCCTGCTCAGACATGACTCTGTGACATCTCCCTGACCTGTAGAGCTCCCACTTGCTCCCCGGTGGCCTTTGTCCAAAGCTACAACCTGGTACTTCAGAATAGCTCAGCCCCAGAGTTCCTGCCTCTTCCTTCCTGCACACCTGTCCCAGCCTTCTTCCTGCCCCCCCACCCCCCACCGTCCGTCCTGTCGCCATCCTACCTGGCCCTCCAGGCCTAGCTGCACTTCACCAGGTGCTCTCTTGTCCTCTCCCTTCTGGGTCTCGTCCTCCTCCTTTACCAATCACTCCAGAGAGACTCCAGGGCACTCCCCAGCAACTGGGCCTCCTCTGTTGAGCCCAACACCAGCCTGAGCTGGGACCCCAGACAGATGGCTGGTTGTGTGACCTCAGCAGCTGGCCCTGATCAAGCCCAGCACCTGCTTTAAAAGGTGCCTGATCTCCTCCTCCGGAAGAGAGCTCCCCTTCCCCAGCTCTGGCCCTGCCCCTCCCCCTGTCCCCCAGCCCTCCAGCCGGTGATCCCAGGATCAGAGGAGCCCATGCCACCCCCCTTCTCTCCAGCTCAGAGCACTGGGGCCCCACACAACACACTGAGCAGCTTGTCCCCCAAGCCTCTCCGCCCCCGCCCCCCCCCCAAGCCATTTGCCGGAAACTTGATCTCTGGCCCTCACAGTCACCTCGATGGAGAAGCCTGCACAGGGCTTTGATGGCTGAGTTTTCCCAGCTGTGACTGTGGATGGGCTCAGGAACCCCCTACCTACCCTCATTTGTCACTATCCATCACTCCCAGGGGGCCACTGCCTGATGAATTGCACCAAGCCCAGCCACCAGCTCAGCTTTTAATAACCGATCAGCATCCCTGCTGCTGCCCAGCTGGGCTGAGGACCCTGGCCATGGGAGAGGGGGAGGGGGGGTTGATACACTTTCATGGGGCTGGAATTCCCAAGATGATCCATTCCAGGGGGAAACCACAAAGGCCGCCCCCCACCCAGGGGCTTCCTCTCCCTCTCCCCAGGGCCAGGAGAAGGTTCTGGGTCCCATTCCTTGTCTCCAGCACATTCCTGCAAATCCCAGGGCTGCAAGAACAGCTGCCCCATCCTCTAGCACCTGCACAGGGCTTACCTTGCCCCTTCTTCACCCTCCTAGAGGGGGTGCACTGCAGGGATGCAGCCAAGACTGGGGAATAGAAAGGGGAAGGGTGGATGGGAAAAGGGCAGGATAAGAATGGACTCCTAATTCCCCAGAGAGAAGGGAGTTGGGAAGTGGTCTCTTCTTTGCTGAAGGAGAAAAGGGGTATGGTAAATAAAAGAGTAGGGTGGCTTGGCCAGCACTGTCTTCCAGCTGTGAGACTGGGTTCCTGTGATGGTGAGGACCAGGGAGGAGAACACAAGGTGAGGATGTGCTGGCTTCATATGCAGCTTCCCAGCAGGAGAGAGGTAGGGAGGGCCTGAAAACAGCCAGGGAAACAGTTAGCCAGCTGGGCTCTAACACCCATCTTCTCCATGGAGAATTATTTGTAGGAAGAAAGGGTTAAATCTGCAGACAGAAAGAATTAACCTCCAGCTCACTTTCAGGCATTCATCTTCATGAACCACTTACATAGATATGCAGACAAGATAGTCTAGGCTGTTTGTAATGGCCAAAAATAAATTGCAATAAGTCCAAAATCCATCAATAAGCTTTGATAGTCTGTGTGATGATGTACTATTTTATTGTTGAAAAGAATGAGGTACAGTACTTCCTGATATGGTAGAACTTGCAGAACATTTTGCCCTGCAACAGTAACCAAGAATGCCAATGGCTGACCAAAATGTAAATCATGATCTTGAAAAAAAAAAAAAACATAACAAAAAAGGGCTGGTGGAGTGGCTCAAGGTGTAGGCCCTGAGTTCAAACTCCAGTACCACAAAAAAAAAAAAATTGAATCTGGCAGACACACAGCAAACTGTGTTCACAGTTCGCAGTGGTCACACTTGCGAGCAGGGTGAGTTTAAGAGAAATAGGGGTTAAAAATTTGCATGGTGTGTCATTAATTTTTTTTAATAAGCAAAAGGAAACTGCAAGCCTGCTTCAAAAGTTCTATGAGCTCCTACTGTGAAGGCATCACTGAGCTGTGTAAGTGAATTCCATCCCTAGCCCAAGATGGGCTCTCACCACCCCCTCCACCTCCCTTGTAGTTAAGGTGCAGCCCAAGATGGAATTATTAGCCAGCAAGATGGAAAAAAAATTGTTGATCATAACTTCTAAAAGAGCTGGCTGAGATGCAGTTGTGATGGCTGATTTCAAGACGCCATCTTGGACTATGAGGCAGAGGTCATGAGTTAGTATAATAGAACAATAAGTTAGCTGCAAAGACAGAGCCTGAGCTGAGACTGATCATAAGACTGCAGGGGACCTTGGAGACCCCTGCTGTCCTCAGTGCACCACCACATCCAAAAGAGATCACATGATGTGCAGGTGTTGGTAACAGAGGTAGAAGTTTTGCCAGCAATTCCCACCCCTTGTCACCCACCCCCACTGCACTCACTCAGCTCACCTCGCTGCTTTTCTCCACAAACTTCCCTTCCTTAAGCTTGGACTCTGCTCCACTCTTGGGTTGGAAGACCTGCTCTGGAGTTAGGGGAGCCTCCCCTTCCCCATATACACACACACTGTTGGTTAATCCAAATGACAGCCTGGGTCACAGCTCTCATCCCCCACTGTGCTCACTGAGGGTCTATCTGTCTGTCCATTTATTTGCCTTCTCTCTATCTCATTGTCCTTCCATCTGTCTGTCTGCCCCTGTCCATCAGTCTTTCTTTCCATCCCGATTATTATCACTCACCCTCTGTCTGTCTTTCTCTCCCCTTCTTTCTCTTCCTCCCTCCCTCTCTCTCTCTTTCTACAGGTTTTAGGTTTCAGGTGGGAGCTTTCCCAAGCTAGCCCTGCCCTGCCCCAATCTGCTGTGGGGCTCCTGATCTCTGTCTGCCCCTTACCTGATCTGTTTTTCCCTGGTGCTGTCGGAGGCCTGGCACTGGAGCGGTTGACGGTCAGGCTCACCAGCTCACGAAGGCAAAGGCCTGCTGACACTGCAGGTGAGGCTGCCCTCCCCTCCTGCCACCCCAGGAACTTCAGTTCTCAGAGGCAAGGCTGCTGGAGGGGGCTGGTGGGGTGAGCTAGGAACACCCAGTGCAGCCCTGGCTCCCTCCTGCAGCTCTGGGAGCTGATGAGGCCAGGGCAGGAGGCCTTTAGGGATGGCCCAGCCTCCCCTCATGTGCAGCCTGACAGGGCCAAGGAGGGCAAGACCACATGTACCACTTACAGGGGACAGTTGCCAGGCAGCCAGGCCCTCCCTGGAGGGAAGAAACCAAGCTTTTCATTTTGATTTCCATCTACCAGCAGACCACAAGCACAGTGCTTCCCAGCCCTGGGCCTCAATTTCCCCATCTGTGCAGTGGAGGCAGACGGGCAGCCAGGCTTCACTTTCACAGCCTAAGTCTGTAATTCTGTCACCCATTTGCCAGTGGCACTTGGACCTGGGTGCAGACAGGGCCTGCAAGAGTCGGGGGCTCTGGAGGGGGCAGGGGCTGCAGGCAGTGACCCGGTGAGCCCATGGCCTGGGTGTCCAGAGACTGACCCCCTCCTCCACCCACCTGCCCTCTCAGGAGTGATTCTTCCTCTGTGGAAGGGGACAAGGGTATCAGCCCCACGTCCTGGCAGCCAGAGGACTCACAGGTGACTTGTGGCAGCTCTGAGCAGAGGCTGGGAGTGAGAAGCAGAGCCTTGGGGACAGGGGGCTAAGAGCCCTCAGGAGCCCCGGGGGGTGTCAGCAGGGAGGCTGAAAGGGGTCATTGTGGGAAACAGGAAGCGGCCCTCTGGGGTGGGCTAATTACAGGCCCAGGCTCTTCCAGCCTCTGAGTGGCCATTCTTCTGGGGAAGAAAGAAGAGTCCAGGGCTCCATTAAATCTTTCATGCTGAGACTGCACTAGGTGACTTGGAAGGCAGCCTTCTGACACCGCCCCTCCCCCACCCCACTTTCTCCTGACTCCTTTCTCCTGCCAACCCCAGACGGCCTCACCCAGAGTTTAAGCCTTTTGAGAACTGCCAGGGAGGCAGCTGAGGGTGAAAAGAGTCCTGCAAGAGGATTTAGGATCTGTTGTGTGCGACATGCTGGACTCAGTTTCTCCAGCTGTAAAATGGGGTTGCCATCCGCCCTGACCACTAAAACTCACAGAACTAAGGACAGATTACAGAAGCCTGAATGTCAGGAGCCTCCTGCCTTGCCACTTACCCACCTCTCGGCTGTCCTTCCTCCTGGGTACATCTGGCCCCAAAAGATGCCAGGATGGATGCCAGAGGCCAAGTGTGACTCAAAAGTGACTTTAAAATGTTCTTTGCTTCTCACAGATGGAATCCAAGTGAAATAGCCACAAAGAAAAAACAACTTGGGTTCATTCGTTCATTCATTCACTCCATAATGTTTTAACCATCCTCCAGGTCCTGTCCCTTACCCAGCCAGACCTGTCGTGGGCACTCAAACCTGATCCCTGAAGAAACATTCAGTGGAGGTTGCCAAAGTTATCATTTGAGACAGGAGAGGACAGGGTCTAGTGTGGCTGCAGAGGGAGTCCCTCCCCAGCTTGCAGGTAGAGGCTTTATATCTGCAGGAGGAGCAAGGGGGTGTCAGGGGGAGCCAGGCAGAGGAAACACGTAGCCAGGGCAGGAGGTGAGAAAGGCCAGGGCCTCCCCAGGATGCCATGCTGTGGGAAATAAGCCAAGGACTGTAGGGTTCCACTCCTGTGAGTATCCAGAGCAGCCAAAGCCATAGAAACAGAAGGTAGAATGGGGTGGTCAGACTGGACGAGGGGGAACGGGGTTGTTGTTTGATGGGTGCAGAGTTTCCATTTTACCAGATACAGAGTTCTGGATATTGGTGAATGTACTCAACACTACGGATGTGCCCATGTAAAAATAGTTAAGATGGGAAATTTTATGTCATGCTATTTTGCCATAGTTTCTATTTTTTAATAGACACACCAAAAACAAAGAGCCCTCCCTAGAGATAGAGTGGGGAGGAGAGGCCAGTTATACATGGGACATAGGGGACATGCCCAAGTCCATCCATGCTAAGGCCAGAATGCTACCTCAAGGCTTTATGGGAAGATGGAGAGGGAACAGAAGGGGGACATGGGGAAAGAGGGAAGTGCTGAGGGATTCAGGAGAAACAGACTGGGTTCGGTGATTCTGTACATGGGCCTTGCTGGCAGAGGCATGGTGCTGGGGCACAGTGCACAGAGCACAGAGGTTGGCTCCAAGTCAGAGAGAACTGATGCCCATCTTGTGACATCTCTGGGGGTGCTTCAAACATTCAAGGGAAGAGAGCTTCTTTTACTGAGTCGCTATGCTCCAAGACCTGAGACCTGGCAGAGGCAAACCATGACCTCCAGAGCTAGGCTGACTGTGCACCGCCATTGAGACAGATTTCCAAGCAGTCTCTGCCACTCACCCTTTCCTCTGAATGATCACCCCAGTATGACTTACAGAGTTTAAACCACTAGAGTTACCTCACTGCCACCCATCATACAGAAGGGGGCACTGATGCCCAGAGAGAACAGATCTACTGAACTTCACCACAGGTCAGGCCACTGGAACCCTGCCTTGATTTCTCCTTAGTGGTGGTGGTGATATTAATGATGATAGGGGAGTTGATTATGGTGGTGGTAATACTGGTGGAAGGGTTGGTGATGATGAGGGGGTGATGGTGAGGATGTGGGGTGGTGGAGGCAGTGGTGATAGTGATGATGGTGGTGGCCACGGTAGTGGTGGCGGTGGTGATGGTGGTGGTAAGGATGGTAGGAATGATGGTGGTGGGGATGATGGCTCAGCTAGTAGTGTTGATTAAAGTAATAGCATACACAGTTCTTATTAAGGAGTGTCACAGTCCTCCAACTTCCACTGGGCATCAGCAATTTCCAGGAACAGAGAGGATGGAATCCAGCTTGACAACTGTGGTGTGAGAAGCTCTGAGTGCTCTGTGCAGTGAAGCTGTGCCCCACAGTGTGGGTTGACCAAGAAGGTGAACTGGTTGCAGAAACATGTGCTGAGGGCCCGCCTCCTTCCCACCCCTCCCACTCCTGAGTTAAGGATTCAAGAGTGAGTAGGCATGTGGAGACAGGCTCCCAGGCATGGAAACTCTGAATACCATATAACCATGTACCTTCATCTTACCCTTCTCTCATTTTTCCCATAGAACTTACCAGCTTCTAGCATTATAATTTCCTTATTTTCTGTATGTCATGTTTATTTTTGTCTTCTCTAACTACTGCCTCCACTAGAATATAAACTTCAGGAGGATAAAAATCTGTTCGGTTCGCTGGCCTGAATTCCAAAGGCCTAAAGTAATGTCTTACCATGCACACAGTAGGTGCTCAATAAATGTTTGTTGACGGAACAAATGCAAAAAGGGAGGGATTAATGGCCGCTTTGATCCGTGAGTGAGGACCAACTTCCTGGCTTGTTACTTGGTTTCTCCTCAAACAAAGAGAGAGGGGTGGGGTGTGGCCCTAAGCACCCATTGATAGACTTTCAGGCTGGACCCAGGGTGAGACCGTGGGCAGGAGGGGGCAGTGCTCAGCCTGGGGGTCCAACCCAACCATGGCCATGACCTTCAAGGGGCCTGAGCCCTGGCTCCCTGCATCCCTGCTAAACCAGAGCTTGAAGGCTGAGGAGAAGACCTGGACCTGGAGTTCAAGGCGTTGAGCGTGGGGTTTAATGAGGAGAGCAGATATACCCTTGACTGTCAGCTGAGAACCCCCTGCAGGTGGGCTCTGGGGCTGGGGTATGATGAATGGTGAATGGTGAATGATGGTGAATGAATGGTGAATGGTGAATGAAGGTGAATGATGGTGACCCCTTCCAGGCCTGCTCAGCTGTCACTGATGTCCTCGAGCAGCAAGATCCTGGCCAGAGCCTCACCTCAACAGGAACAAGTTTATTTTACATTACCCAAAGGTACAAAGTAGGGGTGGGAGCAAGGGGAGAAAAAGGGGATCCTGGAACTGGTCATGGACCCTGGAGAGCCTTAGTGGACCTGGGAGAGGCAGGGGCAAAGGTCCAGACTGGATCCAAGGCTGGGCCTCTGTGGCCCCGTGCAGGAACCCCTGCTTCCTTCAGTGTGACATGGGATGCTGACACTGATCACACAGGGTGGGGTGAGGAGGAAATGGAGGGGCAAGTGTGAATTTTTTTTTTAAAGAACCACGCTGGGCAGCTGACATTACATGGAGTAACACCAGGACCAGCCCGCTGAGTGCCTACTGATCAGAGTCCTACTGATTATAGCTATGGGGGATGGACGGAGACCCAGGTCTTACCTTCCAGGAGCTTCCAGATCAGGTGTAGGGAGGCAGAAATCCTAAGCAGAGAACAGCTAAGTGAGCTAGAAAGAGAAGCTTCGTGCCTAGCCTATGAGCTACCTGAGGGGGGCTTCCTGGCGGAGAAGCTTGAAGGAATGGGGAAACCAAGTCCCAGGCTGCAAGGGGTCAGAAATCAGGGGCAGACTGAGCTTCTCCCTGGCCTAGCATGGTGTCAGGACCCAGGAGGATTCCACAGGACAAGGACCCTGCTCTTCTCACTCTGGTGGGCTGGTACTGGTTGGGTAAAGGGAGACAGCCAAGGGTGGGGAGAATGAGAGGCAGTCACCTATCAGGGAAATCTTAGCCAAGCCTGCTTGGCTTCCACTCAAGAGCTAGGCAGTCCAGGTTGCTTCCTGCCTGTCCTTCCTGCCCTCTGATGGAGGAAGGGAGACCTTAGAGATCATATCTTTACCCAGTGTTCCTGCACCCAGGGTTCTGCAAGAATGACAGGCAGCACGATGATCAGCTGCGTGTGGAGGCACTCAAACTGGATGGAGCCTCAGGACAGGTGGCCAGAAGGTAAGTGAGGCCTTCTTTCCTATCTACCTGCGACCAGAATGACCCCGCAGGAACCTTGAGGTACAGGAGCACGAGGACTTGTACCGCTACTGCAGCAACCTGGCTCTGCCCCGGGCCAGTGAAGAAACCACCACCTGTCACTGCGGGGGCCTGGCCTACAGTGTGGCTTTCCATGTGCACAGGGTCCTTCAGCGCCCTGACTCAAGCCACCCTCCAGGGCCCAACCAGCCGAAACTGATGTCACTGTGTCCAGAGCCCCAGCTTCCCAGCCTGCAGGTGGGTGCTCCCTGGATCCCAGCTTAGGGGCTGGGTTACCCAAGCACAAGCTGCAGCCCGCTGATGCAACCTCAGTCTCACATTCTCCCCAGATTTCAAGGAAAGCTCCAAATGACCGCAAGACAAAAGTCTCTTCTGCGTGTCCACCTTCAAACTCAATCAGCTCCCATCATGACCAGGAGAGGCTCAGCCCTGAACCAGGGCCCTGGCAGCCTCAGGCCCAGGCGAGAGGGTCTAGTCCTCACCAGAGCTGAAGGAGGGTTACCCAGTATGGCCATGCTCTGTGCCAGGCATTGTGTTTAGTAGGCCTCACAGAGAGAAGCACGTAGAGTACGTGGTAGGCCATTTCGCAGGTGGAGAAACCAAGGCTCAAGGATGCTTGATTCCATTTAATGTTAACACCATTTCCCGAGGGACCTCAGTATCTAACAGTGCATGGAATCCAAAGCTGAGTCAGTCCCTAAGCTCAGAGTGTCACCTGGTTTAAAGACAGTCAGGTACAACATGGGCATCACACATGGTCCAGTAAGGCAGGCAGGGAGCATGCATGTCAGGCTTCTTGGAAGAAGCAACATTTGAGATGAATCTTTCGTTCATTCTTTCTTTGCTCACTTATCCATTCATTCCTCTGCTACACCTTTGGTAAGTGCTGACTCTATCTGACCCCATGCTGGGTGGGTGAGATTTAGGGCTTTTGGGAGAATGTTCCAGGAACAGGAACTAGTGGTTAACACAAGCCAAGGTTGTAACCAAAAGATGTGTGGCTCTCCTGGGTGCCTCTGTTCCCAGCATGCCCTGAGCTGGCAGAGTGGAGCCCAGGCTGTGGACTGAGTTAGTCAGGGAGAGGGTCAGTGAGGGAGAAAGTGGACAGAATCGAGGTACAGTGGTGAAGAGCAGAGGTAAGTATTTGATTCAGGAGGCAACAGGGAACCACTGGAGGGGTCTGAGCGCAAGAAAAATAGGATAGGAACTGGGGTGCAGGCAGAGTGAGCGGGCAGCATGTGCCAGGGACCCAGAAAGCAGCTTCTTTTGCCCACTCGTTAACATACTCCACTTTGCTCCTCTGCCCATTCATTCATTAGTCAATCAACATACACTTTTGACCCCCTTCTGTACCCCCAGCTCTATGCTGGGTGTGCGCTTGTGTAAATGAGATGGTGTCCCCTCGGTTGCTAGGTGACCTTCTGTTTCCTCAGATCACAAGCTCCCTGACTTCAGAGCCTGGACGCCGCTCCTGGTGTATTCCAGGACTAGGAAAGCAGGAGGCTTGGAACTCAGGGACAAGTTGTCCCCTACTTTCCAGATCCCAGCATGGCCTGGCCGTGTGTATGGTGCCATTCAGGGAATGTGTATGAGGGAGGGTGGGACTGCTGGCGAAGAAGGCTGCAGCCACCAACCTCTCAAGCTCTAATTTCTGTTATTTAAAGCCATCATCTCTGCACCACACTCCCTCTTAAAGTGTCAGATGTCTGCTTCTACCAAGACAAGAAAATGGTTTTCAAGGGAGAGGAAAATCGCTCTCCTTGGGAAGCGGGGGACTGGGGGGGGTCAGCAATCACAGTCCTGATGACAGAGCTGGAAGCCCACAGGAGCAGACAATGGATGGTCCTTTGAGAATAGGGGGCTGCACTTGCAGTCAGGTGAACTGAGTCCAGCAAGCACCTTTCAGCGCTGCCACTTGGAGGCTCAGACACAGCCCATAGGACAGCAGCAAAGCCAGGCTTTCAGGGAGCTGTGGACAAGGTGGTCCCCTTGACCTGCAGCTGACTTCCTTGGGAACCATCCTCCCTCCCTGCTTTGTGGATAGGAATGAGGGAGCCCAGGAAGGAAGGACCTCACCCAACTCTCTTTGGATCTCAGTTGAAGAGAAGAAACAATGCTGAAGGAGTAGGAGGGTAGAAAAGGCAATGAGAAGGAAGAACAGAGAGGTCAGGAGAATTCAATTCTTGGGCTGAAGCCCAACTTCAGCAATATTCAGTTCATCTCTAGGAATGGATTCCTGGGCGCTAGAGGCAGAGGCCTAAATTCAAGGCTGCCTCCTTCAGGAAGCCAACACAGATTTCATCCCTTCCAAGCTATTCTCAGGTTGGTCTATACCAGGCACTGAAACAATTCAATCTATTCAATTTAGAATTTTAAAAGCTGGGCGTGGCGGCATGTGTCTGTCATCTCAGCTAAGTGGGGAGTATTAGTAGGAGGATCTCCATCTAGGTTAGTCCTGGGAAAAATTCAAGATCCTATCTCAAAAGTAACCAAAGCAAAAAGGGCTGAGGACGCAGCTCAAGTGGTAGAGCACCCACCGAGCAAGAAAGGCCCTGAGTTCAAACCCCAGTACCGCGCGCACACACACACACACACACAAAGGTAAATAAATAGATAGGATAGATACATGATACACAGTTGGATGGATGGATGGATAGATAGATAGATTTTGACTGGAGGCTCAGAAGTTGTTCTTGAATTTGCATAGTGTGTGTCTTTTTTTTTTTTTTTCAACCAGAACTGATGCTGATCATGGTGAGTGTTGATGGGAGGGGTAGGGTGAAAGGCAGGGGACTGGAGATCCAATGTCTGGGATGCTCACTGGAAATTTCAGTGTGTGACAAGGGGCAGGGGCAGAGGGAGAAGGGGCTGTTTCCAGGAATATCTCTAGCATGGATAGCTATGACTGTCCACAGTCTGTGACTCCAGGATGGAGGTCACTCCTGGGCCCCTGACACACAAAGGAAGACCTGGAAGTGTGCAGGCTAGGCTGCAGAGGGAGTTCACCATGGAAAGGCAGCCAGCGCCAGGTTCCCTGCTCCCAGGCAGAGGGGCTTCCCTGCTGGGGGAGATGAGTGTATGGAGATGGTTCCCCACACTCAGCCTATACCTGATGCTGCCTGCTGTTGCCTCCTGGCAGCTTGGAGATCTTATGGCTTGTCACTCCAGCACCGCAGGGCTCCTCCTTGGCCAGCATAAAGGGTAATTATCACACCAGGAAGAGGGTGGCCAGTCCAGAGCAGGGACACCTGAATTTGGCTGAACTCCTGTAAGGGCAACTGATGCACCTTGGAGGGGTGGGAGAGGGAAGGTGACCTGCACAGCTTTGGGTCTGGAGCCACTGGGCCCGGAGCCACTGGGCCCTCAAGGGCTGCCAGAGATCCCTGAAGGCTCAAGGACAACCTCCCACGGGCAGAGCTGTTGAGGAGGGGAACTTTGAGCTGGAAATTCCCAGGGATGATGTTTCTGGAAACAGGATTCATTCCTTTTGAGCTCTGGGAGCTATCCTAGGGCACATCATCAGAGGCCCCAGCTCCCTCCCACTCAGAGCTCAGGGTCCTGGTAGGGAAAGGGAAGAGGAGGGTGTGGTGGGCTCCCTCTCCCCATCACCTCTTCCAGACAATTGTAGTTTTGTTTCATGGAAATGATTCAGTTTCCCAGGAGCCTTTTAAACCGTGCTTTCAATTTTTTTTTATTCCTTCCATTTAAAACACTTTTTTTATTTTTTTTGCCCTGGAGGTTTAAAAAAAAAAAAGGAGAGAGAAGAAAGAAGAAAAAGCTAATAAAGCAATCACCAAATGCCCTGCACCTGGCTGTAAGCCTGTGGATGCTGATTGTGACTCTGGCAGTCACAGGCTGGGGGCTTTTAATAGGGAGAAGTGGAAGGGAATGGGAGAATGGCCGCGGAGATCTTGGGCTTGCTTAGTGTCCCCTCTGCCCTCAGTCCCTGCACTCCTGCTTCTGTAACCCTCCCTTTGTTCCCTAGCTCTCCCCGCCCCCATCCCGCCTGTTGTGCCCAGTCTGGCTGGAGCTCCCCAGGCCAGCACTTTCCAGCCCCAGGCACCCTCCCGCCTTCGGGCAGATCCCTGCCAGTCCCCTCTCCGCTCTGCTTTTAAATTCATTATGCCTTTTATTGCTCGCTATTGCAGGCGCTATTCCTATTGCCCTGGAGACTGGACTGGTTCAAGCAGGGAGAGGAGCACAACACGGATTTCATTAACTTCACTCTTTACTGCCCATTGAATCTCTGGGGGCCGGCCTGGCGGGGGAGTTGGGCACCTCTTTGTTCAGGCCCCTTTCCCTCAGTGCCAGCTCTCTGGCCGGCTGGTTCCCCTAGCCCTGCGATGCCTCGCTCTGCCTCTCCCTCCCCCTGCCTCTCCCTCCCCATGTCCTGGTGGAGGGGACCTCTTTCGTAGTTGGGGAACTGGCTCTGGAAGGCAAAACTTGGACTGCAAACAGCAAGGGTTGAGGAGGGTGAGAAGAGGTTAGAGCAAGACTGTCAGCCCCTCCCAAGATGCTGTCTCAGTGTCTGGGCTCCGGGACCCCAAAGCTGCCCCGCCTTTGCTTTTTCTGCCTCCATCAAATACCAAGGACCTGAGGCAGGGCAGCGCCTCCTTGCAAATGAGGCGGTTTTATGGGCTTTAGAAAAACACTCCAATTGTTCCCTCAATTACCCCAGAGCAGATTGAATATATTAATCTCTCTCTTAACTCGAGTTAGAGACTCAGCTGCCGCCCCTCCCCCAGCCACCAGCGCCCCTCGGCCGGCACGCGCCAGGGACTGGCTCCCAGCCCCCACCCTCCTGGGCCTGGAGCCCTGGGCAGGTCGGCTTGGTCCAGGCAGCATGCTTCTGCTAAGGTGCCCGGGTGCCCATCAGCGCACTCACACACACACACACACACACGCACATGCACACACGCACACGCACACACACACACACGCACTCACACAACACACGCGCGCACACATGCACACGCGCACACACATGCACACGCATGCACACACACGCACACGCGCGCACACATGCACACACTCACACTCACACAACACACGCGCGCACACACACACGCACACATGCACACACGCACGGCGGCAAGCAGACAACTGCTTTACATTTCCCTATCCATCTCCATTGATTTTCTCCTTTGCTACTATTTGAAAGAGCCTTTTTCCCTGAGTAAAGGCAATCGTGGGCGCTCACCCCTGA